TGCTGCTGAATCCGTGCAGTGCAGACACGAGCAAGAGAGCACCGCCTAACGGCCCTAACCCCCGTCCCCAGTCATGTCCATCGTCTCGCCCTCCCCGCCATCCTCCTCGTCCTCGCTCATGTCGACCTCAATCCCGCTCGCACTCGCCGACTGCATCGCGACAACCGACTCGACATCGTCGGCCTCCGACTCGAGCGGCGGAGCGAGTCGACCCGTTTCTCCCGCCCTGATCTCCTCGTCGAGCGCGCGGACTTGCTCCTCGAGGTCAGCGTCGACGCGTGGTGGGAGACCGGGGAAGGCAAAGCGCGTGCCGGACATGCGCGTCGAGATTTCGTCGAGCGCAAGCTTGAGAAGGTCGCAGGTGACGGGGTCGCCGGGAGCGATAGCGAGGGACTGCAGGTGTGAGGCGGTCAGCAAAGCAGTCAGAAACAAGGTCAAAGCGCAGACGCACCTCGTGGTACCGCGCGATGGCCTCTTGGACGTTTCCCCGCTGGTGTTCGACGATACCGAGTGCGCTATACGCCGCCGCAGACCGCGGGTCGAGCTCGAGCACTCGCCGGAACGACGTGTGTGCCTTGTCCCATTCCCTGAGGGAGCAAGCGAGTGAGCGGGCACGTGAGAGCATTTAAAGATCCGAAACGCACCTGAGGCGCCGGTGAGCGTGTCCGAGGTTGAGGTGCGTCGCCGACCATGCCGAGGGAGAGCTCTGGACGCGGCGCGCAAGCAGCAAGGCGTCCTGGAAGCATTGAACGGCGTGCTCGTATCTGGCGAGGAGGCGGAGCGTTACCACAAATTCTCCAGGTATGGCCTGAAGAATGCGCAAGACTCACTGCTGGTTGTGCAGAGCGACGACGCCGAGCTCGTTGACAACGAGCGGATCCTCCCTGCAGATCTCCTGCGCCGCAAGCAAGTACTCTTCCGCAAGCGAGACATTCGCAAGCCCGAGATGCTGCATCCCGATGAACAAGAGCGGGAGGTGCGAGCCCGGCAGGTGGCGCTGGGCAGTCGAGTAGGCTGTGATGGCTTGGTCGTGCTCGCCTTCGTAGGCGAACGAGTGGGCGTAGGCGAGCCAGGCTGGGCCGAAGCGCGGGTCGATCAGGACGGATTTGCTGCGAGATGGGAGGGTCAGCTCACGAAAGATGAGCAATCTAGAGAGTCGCGCACGCACCCAAAGAACCGCCGCGACTCTTCCCAGCGCTTGCCAGAGAAGTACCACAGCCCGACGGCGTACCAGCTGATCGCGTCGTCCGGCTCGTGCTCGACCATCTCATGCGCGAGGAGGAACAGCCGCGATCGCAGGTTCGGGATGTGGTGCATGCAGGAGAGGTGGAGTGGGAGGGTTGGTCGGTGGTAAGGGTGGAGCGAGACGATGCTGCGCGGAGAGCGTCAGACCCTGCTCTGTCGGCTTCACGAACCCGAGACGTACTGCGAGGTGATCTTGAAGCACTCGACGTAGCGCATCGCGTTGTACAGCTCGTCCGCCCGGCTGAAGAGGACGTCGGGGTCCTCGCCGAGGCCGTAGTCGTCCGTCAGCCGCTGCCGCGCGATCGCCATGTCGTTGCTGTGCGACAGCTGCGCGCGAGGGTTCGTGAGCATGGCCCTGACAGGGAAGATCTGCAGGACGCGCCTTCTTCAGCCGCACGGTGTACATCATTCGCACGAATTCGGCGTCGTCCTCCGTCTGCGCATGGAATGGCAAGCTTTGCACAAAGTCCCATTCTGCGAACGCAAAGACGTCAGCACAGCTACAGATAGCCCGCGCAAACGAGGACCCACCCTCCTCGGTCGACATCATCTGGCCGCCGACGAGCATCTCGAAGCTCTCGAAGCACTTGACGTCCCGCGTGAGCGCCTCCATAAACGCCTCTTTCGCGAGCTCGTTCGACTTCATGTGGAGGTGTATCAGTCCGCGCAGATGCGCGGCCGAGGCGGTGATCTGCGAGAGTGGCAGTTAGCGAAGGAAAAAGGCAGCGAACGGATGTTCAGGCGCACCTTGATCCCCCCGTCTCCCTTGCCGTCGTTGTAACCCTCGACGAGCCCTCTCCGACCGACCATGTCGAGCGCCTCTTCCCACTTGCCGAGCCTGACCATGCACTGCGCCGCGAGGTAGCGACAGGCCAGCGACATGTCGGTCAGTCGAGCGGGAGGAGCGGTCGAGGTCGAAGCTGCCGATGATGGGCGAGGCGCAGTCAAGATACGCTCGGCTTGGGAGAACTGGTGCGTCAGAAAGTGGATTTGCGCGAGCCAGAACGCGTCGTCCGGGTTGCCTGCGTTTCGACGAGGTCAGCGTACGCACAACGACCCCAGCGAAAGCCGCCCGCGCACCGGTCATCTCGAGAACCTTGCCGCCCCAGAAATTGGCCGAGTCGTAGAGGTGCTGGGTCATGGCGTCGTTTCGCCAGTTGCGCATCCGGTCAACCATGGTCCACGGCGCGTCCTCGTCCATCGTCTGGCTCAGGAAGCCGCTGTCGTCTCCGTCCAGTCCATTCGCAGGGAACGCGAGCGGCGTCCCTCGCCTCGGTGCGCGTGTAGTGGCAGTCGACCCGGACGGAGCGAGTGAAGGTCGTCGAGGGGAGAGGGAGAGCGTGCTGAGGTTCGACTGCCGCCTGAGTCCCTCGACGTGCTCGTTGCTGATGTTCCCGCTCGTGTTGGCATCGTACTGCGCCTTCCTCGCTGCGTTGCGCGGGTTGATGCGCTCTGCGAACGGCGAGGGAGTCGCGCGGAGGTTGGGCGTCGCCGTGGCGGGATGGGGCAGCATGGGCGGTCGTAGCAGGCAGTCCTAGCCCAATCTAGCTAGTCCAAGCACTCTCAAGCAGCGTACGAGCCCAGTGGAGCGAGTTGCTACGGTCGAGGAGTCGCTCAACACGGGTCGCTCCTCGTCTTGCACCCGCTGTCGCCTCTTTTTGCTTTGTTCGACTCGCTATAGCTGATTTACGGCTGCTAGATTGTGCTACGACAGCACCAGCGCTCCCCCGACCCCTGGAGACGCGGTGAGTGCTTCCCTTCTCCTCCCTTGTTTGACATCGGGACGTCAGAGGAGATCAGTGCGTCCGCGGGCCTTGGGGGAGCTCCGGACAGGCTGTACCGAGGGAATGAATTGTGTGGACTGGATGGGCAACATCGCAAGCCTCACAGACGAACCGCACCCATCGAGCGCACCCACCTAGAACTGTCAGCTAACATCGCCTTGTCCTCGCAACAGCAGCAGCGCCAGGTCTCCTTCTTCCTCCTCCGAGTACACCTACCTCGCCATTCTCGCCGACATGCTCTTCTCTCGCACCTATGCGACCTCGCACCAGCTCGAGCAGCAGCGGCTATCCTCTCCTGCCGGTCCACCCGTCCCCTCTCTTCATTCGTCCCAATCTCGCCGAGAAATCCCCGACGAGCTGCGAACGGCGTCTGTCATCGGAGAGGAAGACCCTTTCCTCGCTCCGGCAGCAGACATGACGGGCGGGATCGAGACGCTCCTCGAGGAGGAACAGCCCGACTTGATGGCGTTCGACGACGTCCTCGACGATGCTTTCGACGAAGTTGCGGTGCCGCCACAGAAGAAGCAGGCCGAAGAACGGGGAACGCTCATCGATGCGTCGCCCATTGCGGAGCAGGTCGAGCAGGTTCCCGCTGTCGAGGCTGGACGACCGCGATCAGACGTTGTCGTGAAGATGCTTTTCCCGAGCGGTGCGTCTGACAGTCTCTCTGATGTTGACGTCTTGACTGATCAATTCGTCCCGCAGCCCGCCTCCCGCAACCCGCCTCGAAGCGCCTCTCCCTCCCCGTCTCCCAATCGGCCGCCTCCTCTCAACCCTTCACGAAGCGCACCTCTCTCCCCGGCCACTCCTCCCACTCCTCCCTCTCCTCCTCAACCTCCCGCAAGACCCTCTCCTCCTCACATGCCTCCCTCCGCTCATCCCAAACCTCCGCAACCTCTCTCGCAGCAAGAGAGGGAACTCTCCTCGCCCTCCCACTCGCAGACCAGCTTCGCACGCTCAAAGCGCGCAATAGTCAGTTGGCCAAGACCTTGGCGACGCAGCAGGCTACGAATGCGAAAGCGTTGGAGAGGATCAGGCAGTTGGAGGAGGAGAAGGAGAGTGGGAGGGTTGAGGCGGAGGGATGGGAGGCTGAGGCGCAGAGACTTGCTGCGGAGCTTGCGAGCGGCTCGTCGGCGCCGGCGCAGGTCAAGGCACCGGCGGAGGACGACGAGAAAGCCGACCTCGTCGCACGCGTCGCGCTCCTCGAACGCCAACTCGCCATCGAGTCTTCGAAGCGTCGTCGTGCGAAAGAGATGCAGCACAAGTTGCGCTGCGAACTGGTCAATCGCCGATGGAAGGAGAAGTGGGAGGTCGAGTTGCTCGAGCGTGAGGAGAGGAGGTGGGAGGTTAAGTGTGTTGAGTTGGAGCACGAGGCGGCGAGGGAGAGGTATGAGAGGGAGATGGAGAAGTTGGAGAGGGAGGAGTTGCAGGTGCGTTCCCTCCTCTCTCCTCGCTTCCGATTTCGTGGACTGACGTGACTCGAAATCCACAGGAAACCGTCGCCGAGCAACTCAAGTCCCTCTCCGCCCTCTCAGCCTCGCGCCAACTCCTCCTCACCTCCCACCGCACCAGCGAATCTACCATCTCCACCTTGCGTGCGGACCTCTCCTCTCTCCGGCTGGAACTCGACTCCACCCTTGCGCGGCTGGAGGAGCAGAGTGCGCTGGTGGCGGAGTTGGAGGAGATGAAGGAGGAGGTGGAGAGGTTGCGGAAGGGTGAGAAGAGTGGGAGTGAGCGGGGTAAGGAGGCGGAGAAGGAGCGCGCGAGGAGGGAGAGACTCGAGGCTGAAGTCAAGGATCTCAAGGTGCTTCCCCGCTCTTCTCCTACCTCTCGACCTTCCCTCCCTGCTGACGCTCCCGCTTGACAGGCCCAACTCAAAACCACCCAATCCGCCCTCAAACTATCCGAGAAAACCGCTTTCTCCGCACAATCCGCTCTCGCAGCGCTCGAGTCCGGCCTCGAGAGGAGTAGCAGCACGGTCAAGGCTGGTGAGGGAGAGAAGAGACCTGTCGCTGCGGCTGCGGCTGCGAAGCGCGCGAAGAAGATCGTGGAGAAGGAGCCGGAGCCGGAGGTCGTGGAGGAGGACGAGGTCGTCAGCGCTGCGGAGGAGGTCGCTACGGACGTCGAGTCGGTCGCCGCCCTCGAGTCCGAGCCGGAGCCCGAGCAAGAGCAGGACGACGAGGAGACGTACAAGCCGGTCAAGAGCAAGTCTCGCAGTGCGCCGGCCCCGAAGGTCCCCAAGACTGCTGCAGCTCCGAAGGCGACGAAGAAGGCCACCAAGCCTGTCGTCGATCTGGCGGACGAAGACGACCTCCCTACGCCGAAGAAGAAGGCCGCTCCCGCAGCCGACTCGAAGAACCGCAAAGCCGGCGTGTTGGGCGACAAATCCGCGAATGTCTCTCTGAGTGCGCGCGCGGTCGGCGGCGGTGTGGAAGGCCACGAAGGCGGTGGCGTGCAGCTCAAGGTGAAGAAGAAGGCCAAGAAGGGCGTCGTCTCGCGGCTGTCGCTCGACTCGGACGAGGACGAGGACAGGCCCGCGAAGAGGAGGAAAGACGAGGATGTCGAGCCGCTCGTCAAGAAGAAGAAGAAGATTGCGCTGTTTGGAGGGCCCAAGTCGCGCTTTGCGTTCCCCATCGAGGTGCGCCCGTGGCTCTCTCTGTCAACGTCGACAGTGACGCTGGACTGACGCTGTGCTGGCTCGCGCAGAACGCGGACGCCAACTCGCTGATCCCGGTCGACTTGTCGCCTATCAAGAAGGACGTCGCGAAGAAGTCGTCCGTCCTGAGCGCGTTCGGCGGCGGCGGCGCTGGTCGCAAGGGTGCCTCGATCTTTGCCTAACCGCCCGGTTGCTCTACCCTTTACCCATGTCCCCCTCGTCGGACTTAGCCGGCCACCTCACTCGATTTACTCTATCCCCTCGTCGCTCGCGCTGATTCGATTTTCTTGCGTGCCCCGTGTTGGTTGTGCACTGGGTGATATGCCATTGGATTTGCTGATTACAAGTTTCATTACAAGCGTTGTTTTGGAGTGTGAAAGGCGTCCCCGGCAACTTCGTTGGACCGGCTCTCGCTTCGTCCTTCGCACTCCTCACCGCTCTCTCTCACTCGCTTGCACGTGCTGTTCACGCTGTGCTAGGGGCTTACACATCGAGTGACAGTCGTGTGACACCCGCGCGCGCTTGGGATGCTCCTGTCGCGCACCGCTGCCCGCACTCTCCGCGCTCGCTCAACACCCGCTCACCTCGCACCCGCACTCGCACGCACGCCCTTCCAGCCACACACACCGCTCAGACAACTCTCTCACACACCCACACGCATGTTCGCGCTCACGCCCTACCGCGCATCCCAGCCCCGCACCTTCTCGGCGCAGAAACAGCTCCCCCGGCTACCGATCCAGCAGCTCGGCGCGAGCCTCGACAAGTACATCAAGTCACTCAGGCCGTTCTTCCTCGAGCAGGCGGCGAAAGAGGGGAGGGACGACACGTGGGTCGAGGAGCAGCTCGAACTGCGGAGAGAATGGGCGCGCGACTTTGAGAAGGAGGGCGGACTCGGACGGGTCCTCCAGGAGCGTCTCAAGGGTGAGAAACGACGTCTTCTACATGAGGCGACGAGCGCGAGCTGAAAGAACGGCCATCCCCGCGCAGACGTCGACCGGATCACGCCCAGCAACTGGCTCGACGACCACTTCTGGATCAAGGTCGCCTACCACTCGTGGCGTGTTCCCCTCCCCGTCAACAGCAACTGGTGGCTCATGTGCCGCGACGACGAGGGCATCCCTGCGGACGTGCGCGCTGGCGTGCCGCCCAAGGGTGCGTTCGACGAGGCTTCTCGTCGTGAGCCTTCGTCCGCTGACTTGGCAATGAACGCAGGCGAGTTTACCGAGTGGCAGATCAAGCGCGCGGCCAAGTTGACGCAGCGCCTGATCGACTTCAAGGTTCGCGTCGACCGGTCAGTCTCGGTCGTCTCTCTCAGTTCCGAGCGACAACTCACGCCTCTGACTCCCGCGCGCCCGCAGAGAAGAGATCCTGCCGGACTCGTCGCGCGCAGGTCCGTTTGACATGCACCAATATACCCGGTACATGCCCATCCTGACTTGAGCCCCCCTTCGTCCCGTTCCCCGTTGCTGACTCTCAGGTCGATCACAACGGTTCTGGTTCACCCACAGGGTCTTTGGCGTTACCCGTCTCCCGCAAATCCCCACCGACACACTTGTCCACTCTCCTCACCCGCACCCAAGCACAAACATCATCGTCATGGCCCTCGACCACTTCTACACCCTCCCCGTCGTCGACGCCGTCTCGGGCGACGTCTTGCCGATCGAGAACATCGAGGCGGGCTTGTGGGCGATCGCAGACGACGCGCACGCTCGAGGCGAAGCGAAAGACTCGATTGGTGCGCTCTCGGCCGACGACAGGGACAGCTGGACCCGCGCGCGCGAACACCTCCTCGCCCTCTCGCCCGTGAACCGCGCTTCGGCCACCGCAATCGAAGACTCGCTCTTCGTCCTCTCGCTCGACGCGTACACGCTCCAATCGGCCGAATACGTCTCGTCATCCCCTTCGCGGGACACGCCCGACCTCGACGCGCATATCCGCAATGCGTCGACTGCCGGAGGGAAGGGGAAGAACCGCTGGTGGGACAAGGCGGTGGGAGTGCATGTCGAGTCGAATGGACGGGCGAGTATGGTCGGCGAACACTCGCCTTGTGACGCGCTCATTCCGAGTATCGTCTGCGACTATGCGTTGGCGGAGAACCTTGATCCGGCTAGCGTCAGCAGGAGGGGCGCGAGTAAGGTTCCCGAGGGGGCGAGGCTCGAGTGGGTTGTGGATGACAAGACGAGGGAGGCGATTCAAAAGGCGGTTGCGACGGTCGAGGAGATTGCGGCGGATAGTGATGGCAAGATGCTGTGGTACGACGAGTACGGCGCGGGGTGGATCAAGAAAGTCGGTGCGTTCAAAGCTCGCTCGCTTTCCCTTTGAAGTCTCGCTGACTCGCTCCCTCTCGGCTCGTCGGCAGGCAAGCAATCCCCCGACGCCTACCTTCAGATGGCTCTCCAACTCGCCTACCACAAGACGCACAACGAGCCGACCGCGACGTACGAGACGGCCTCGACTCGCCTCTTCCTCCACGGACGGACGGACGTCATTCGGACGTTCAGCGAGGACAGTTGGAGGTGGGTGCAGGCGATGAGGGATCCGGGTGTTGATGTGAGTCGAGCAGCAGTCGTCGAGTGATCAGCTTGGGAGCCGGCGAGTTTGACTGACGTTTGTCTGCATATCGTCGTCTCACAGGCCAAGACGCGCTACGAGCTCCTCTCGGCCGCAACGAAGGCGCACAACCTCTACACGAAAGAAGCCTCGACAGGTCGCGGCATCGACCGCCACTTCCTCGGCCTACGCCTCCTCCTCCGCGAAGGCGAGAGCCACCCGCTCTTCGACGACCCGCTCTTCACCAAGAGTCAGGAGTGGGTCCTCTCGACGAGTGGGTTGAGCGCCGGAGACAGGTTCTTTGGGACTGGATTTGGCGCGGTTTATCCGAATGGGTACGGCATCAACTGTGCGTCCCGTTCCTCCTCCTCTCTCTTCTCTTTAGCTGATGACCAAGTTCTCGCCTTCGCTCGCAGACCTCGCCGGCGACCAAGTCATCAAGTTCGGCATCGAATCGAAGGTCTCGTGTCCCGAGACTTCGACCGCCGTCTTCCGCCAGAACCTCGTCGAGGCGATGCGCGAGATGCGCAAGGCGTGCGAGGACGGACTGGCGGCGGCGACGGTCGAGGAGGCCAAGGCGAAGCTGTAGTGCGGAGTGGTAGTTGTTCGTCAATGTTGCATGAAAATCGCTTTGCAGTGCCCTTACGGCCGCTCGCTCACTACGAGCGTCCTTCGACTCGTGCAAGTAGTACTGCACGCTCCACACACGCTCGAAAGCCTCGCTGTCGACGGGTCGCTCGACTTCGCCCGCTCGCGCGCCTCTCCCTCCTTCCCACTCACGCTCATCCGCTCAACCTCGCTCAGATGCTCGCTCAGTGCTTCGCGCAGCTCACAAATCAGTCCGACAATGCACAGACTTCGCAACCGAGGCCAACGATGAACCCTTTCGACCGCCTGCCCGACGAACTCCTCCGCTACATCTTCGACTTCCTGAGCGTCTCGAAGGACCCGTACTTGAAGGGAGACCTCCGGCGGTGTCTTTTCGTATGCCAACGCTTCTACCAGCTCGCCCGACCCCTCCTCTGGCGGCGCATCCACGTCCACTCGAAGCGAGACCTCGACTTGGTCCTGCTCGACAAGCGCACGGGCGACACGAGCGAGTACACGACGTCCCTCTGTCTTGCCAACAAGATGAGCTTCAAGGAAGGCGCGGCTTCGAAGGAAGACTTCGAGGAGCTCGTTGGATTCCTGCCCCGAGTCAAGGACGTCTCGTTGCACGCTTTACAGCTCGACATGATTCCCTTCGACGCTGTGAGCAGTCTCAAATGTGTGTGAAGACCCTATGTGTCAGTCAAGACGAACTGAAGCGCTCATTCCGCTGGCTACGTACGCAGTCTTGACCACGCTCTCGATCCGCAACGTCTCCGACGAATGGACCGGCTTCAGCTCGAATCAACTAGTCTCGCTCGAGATAATCGGCTGTCGCCTGTCTACGTCAGCTTTCCTCACACAGCGCGACTTCCCGCACTTGCGAGCGCTTTCCCTCTTTGTCGAACCAACATTGAACCCGTTCGTCCCAACCTTGAGTTATGCCGCTCTCGACCCGAAGCTTCTCGTCCAGCTTGACATGCTTCAGCTGCCTCTTCAAGACGCCCTCGCCTCGGGATCCATCTGGGCACCTCTTCAGCAAGTTCCGACTCTCCTCTATCAATGGTCCGGCGACTCTACGGGCCGCTGGCGGGCACCTCCTCGATTTTGGCGGAAGCCCAACCTGGTACTCATCGAGCACGTCCTTGTGGAACGTGACTACAGCTCCTTTGGCTTGCATATCTCCGAGTACTCTTCCCTCAAGACGGTCTCGATCGCACACGGCTTCTCGACACCAGACGTCGCAGGGCTGGTCAAGATATGTCTCGAAAAGGGCATCAAAATCATCTCGGTTGGGTGCGGGAACGACCTCGGCGTCAAACAGGACTTCTGGACGTACGCAAAGCGAGAGAAGGAGGCGCTCAAGCGGGCGTAGCGGAATGGGAGTGGTGTAAACTCTCGCTCTGGCATGCAAGGATTGCTGATGATCTGGCAGAGGGAAGACGAGAGCGTGAGCGAGCTGAAACTCCGTTGCATGAAAATCGCTTTGCATTGCCCTCACGGCTGCTCGCTCACTACGAGCGTGGTTGACCCGTACGAGCGCACTGCGTGCTTGGACACGCGCGTGGAAAGCCTCGCGGTCGACAGTTCGCTCGACTTCACCTCTCCGTCTCCCTCCTCCCACTCACGCTCATCCGCTCAACCTCGCTCATGCGCTTCTGGAAGATCTTCAAACGGCTTGTCAAATGCGCCAAAGCACAGCCGCTACCGCCCGTCGTGCTCACGACGAGCCCCATCGCCCGCCTTCCCGACGAACTCATCGAATCCATCTTTGAGCTCCTGCCATCTTCGTGGGACTTTCACACAGAGCGGAGCCATGCACTAGCGCCTTGCCTCCTGGTGTGCAAGCGGTTCTATCGCCTCGCACGCCCTCTCGTCTGGCGGCATGTTCATTTGAGTTTGAAGCGGGACGTGGAATCGGTATTCCTGAGCGAGGGACAGGTCATCATGCAGTCGACGGTTGCGCTCAGCCTGTACGGGGAAGGGACGACGGCGGATGCTATGTCCGAGGAGGACGTTTGCAACGCTTTCGACTGTTTCCCTCGCTCCGAGGAAGTCACGCTCGGCGGCCAGTGCCTTCAGATTCCGTGGGATAGGATCACACACAATCCTTGTGAGTCTCAATTTCTCAAGGGCACATCCCGGTCCTGACGTCTCTCGACCCGCGGCAGACCTCACCTCGCTCACCTTCAACGGCATTCTTTCTAGGCACGGATGGCCTGCCCCACACCTCGAGCGGCTGGTCAAGCTCGAGTTCATAGACTGCGCCCCGCCAAAGATTCGCTTCCTCACCCCGAGCAACTTTCCGAGTCTGCGCGCGCTTTGCTTCGACCTCCCGCCGTACAATCGCAAGTATTACGCCCAACTCGACGGCGGTCTCCTCGACCAACTGGAAATATTACAAATACCACTCTTCGAGATCCTCGGCATCGTTCCTGTCCCGGAGATCCTCCATCGAGCGCCGACTCTACTGCACCGCTCGGCTCAGTGCGTGGAGGTCTACTGCACGCCCGCACTCGACAGCTTGCGGATCTGGCCCAATCTTCAGTTCATCGAGCATCTCTGCGTTGCCTCACCGCAAAAGCCCCATATCAGCCTACACATGTACCCTGTGCTCAAGACGCTTTCTTTGCAGACGGACGTACCCGATTGCGAGCTCGCGGAGCTCATCGATACATGTCGGGATATGGGTATCACGGTTGTCTCAGTGGATCGCTGGAACAAGCGCGGCATCAACAGCGACTTCTGGGTGTACGCGAAGAGGCAGAGGGACAAGCTTGAGCAGGCGTAGCGAATTGGGCGTGAAGACGATTCTCATCTAGCAAACAAGCATTGACGGTGACCAAACGGAAGCGGGAAGCGAGCTGACGATGCGAGGAAGCCCTCTGCAAGCGCGACTTCGCAAAAGAGTTGCGCCCCTCCGCAGCCTCTAGAAAGAGCCCGAGGTAACTCCTGGTGATGTCGATCCTTCCACCTAGAGTTCTACTGCTCTATCGCCACGCACTATACACCTAGACCTCACGGCCCTACGCAGCAAATCCACCGCCCTACACCTGCCTGACGAAGGTCGCATCGATCTGCTGGACCTGGGGGCACTCGAGCATAATCTTGCGCCTGTACGCCGTGCCGAGCTCCTTCTGCAACGGATTGCCTTCGAGGTAGATCGTCGAGAGGTTCGGGTGGGAGGAGGGCGGGAGAGAGGGGATGGAATGGAGCTCGTTGTTGTTCGCCTGCGCGGAGAGTTCAGGTATGAATACGACGGCGCATGGTTGAGAGCTGGTGCGCCTACTTACCCAAAACTCCTCCAGCTCGGTCAACGGCGCGAGCGCTTCCGCCGGCGCATCGACGATCTTGTTGTTTCCGACGTCGAGCGTCGTGAGCTTGGTCTACGGTAGTGAGCGAGTCAGCAAGGACACGAGGCGTTGACCAAGGACGCTACGCACCAGGTTCCGCAAGCCTTCGATCTTCGTCAAGCCATTGTGCGAGAGGTAGAGCTCCTCCAACTCGGTGAGCGCGTCGAGACCTTCGATCTTCGTCAATCGGTTGCCTACAGCGAGAGTGTCAGACGGAGTGCGCCGCGGGGAGAGGAACGAGCACGCACTCTGGATGGACAGCGTTCGCAAGCCGGTCAAGCCCTCCAAGTTCTCGATCTTCGTGATCTTGTTCTTGCCGAGGAAGAGCGACCGCAGGTTCGCCGAGATCGGGAGGTTCTCGATCGTCTGTCGAGCGAGAGGACCGTCAGTCTCGTCGTCTCCTCCCGCTCGCAAAGATGGACAAGCTCACCCGGATCCTGTTCCCGCCGTACTCGAGGTATGTCAAGCTTGTTCGGTCCTTGACGCCCTCGATCTTGGTGAGCTTGTTCTGGATGAGGTAGAGGTGGGTAAGGCGAGGGAAGGCATAAGGCGAGTTGGGCGAGGCGTCGTCGAAAGGTGCGACCGAGCGGAGGAGGTTGAAGGAGAGGTCGAGGGATCTGCGCCGTAGCATTGAGTGAGCTCAAATGCGCTGCGGCGGAAGAGGTGGCTGACACGACAACGCACTCCAGCGAGTCCAGTCCCTCGAGACCCTTGACGCTCTTCAGGCTGTTATCGTACAAGTCAAGCTCCTCCAGCTCCTTCAGGTCCCGCAACGGCCACACTGGCTCCTCCTCTTCTGCTCGTCGCTGTTCGTGGTAAGGGAAGTCGGCCTCCTTCTTCGCCGCGTCCTGGTCATCGTGCGGGTCCTCGTCGACTGCATCGCGGTCTCCACCCGTCGCAGCGCCGTTTTCCGCGAGAGTGCGACCTTCCGACGCAGTAGGAGGAGGAAGAGGGTGGTAGAAGAGCGAGGTGAGGAGGTTCTGGCGAAGCGAGATGCGCTGTCGACGAGGGCAAAGTCAGCGAGCTCAACAACGATCTGCTCGCTCACGCACCTGCACTTTGCGGAAGCGCTCGATGCCCAGCCCACGCAGCGTTCTCAGCCGCAGGTGTGTCAACTCGAGGTCGAGGGCGTCATCGTCGAAGTCGGCGAGAACGTCTTCGTTTTGCGCGAGCTCCTCCCCTGCGATGACCTGGTCCTGAGCCGGTCCTCCAGCCTGCCCCTCGCCCAGCGGCGGCCCCATCACCAGCCTCGCATTCCGCTCGAGTCGCGCCTTCTCGTCCTCAAAGTGTCGCTCGTCCGTCTTGAGGTTCGCAAAGCGTTCCCGCGTGCCTCCTTCGGACACATTGCCACCCTCAGACTCGCTCGACTGGCCATCGTCGCCGTGTTCCGCTCCTTCACCGTTCGAAGGCTGTGTCGCTGATGAAGTCGAGGGATCCGTCGACGGCGCCAGTCCAGCGGGCAGATTGAAATCGGTGGGCTGCAACGGACCGCTCATCGTCGAATCTAGCGAGATCGAGCAGGATAGAGCCGTTCAGTGAGAAGAGCGAGAGCGCAACCTTCGAGGCGGAGGTTGGACTTACCTTCAACACCCGCTCACCAGCTGGGCGTTGACAGAATGCTGCGAACGGGCTGTAGCGGTGCACAGAAGGCGCTGCGGACACCACAAACACGCCGGCGTTCGTTGTTGTCGCGACACACCACACCCTCTCAACCTTCGCTTTGGCTGCTCGAGTCGGCTGTGTACGCTCGTGTGGGATGGTCGAGGGCGTTGTCGAGCACGGCGAGATGTCTGGAAGGGCAGGCGGAGCGGAAACTGGTGCGTATAGGTTCTCTAGCTTGCGATTCGCGCTTCTCGAGCTGACCTGCCCTCTCGCGCAGCCTTCCCTCGCCAACTTTCCGCCAGAGAAGATCCGCAATTTGGTCAACATTGCTCACATCGACCACGGAAAATCGTAGGGAAACTCCCGGAGGTCACGGCGAATGCTGGCTGACCGATTGTCGCTGTGCAGGACTCTTGCGGATCGCATGCTGGAAATGACGGGGACAATTCCGCTCAAGCCGAAGAACTTGGACATGTTGGACGGCGAGGGAAAGAACGAGCAGGTGCTGGATACGCTGAAGGTGGAGAAGGAGCGAGGAATCACGGTCAGTCCACTCGCACTTTGCTCTCTGCTGCAGCTTTCGGCGAAGCGAGGGTTGCCTTGGCTCGACGACATCTGACAGCTTCTACACAGGTCCGCGCACAATCAGCCACTATGTTCCACACGCACTCGGACGGCGAGCAGTACATGATCAACCTCATCGACACGCCAGGTCACGTCGACTTTGCGAGCGAGATGCTCCGGTCACTCTTGCCGAGTCAAGGAGCGATTTTGTTGGTCGATGCGGCGCAGGGAGTGCAGGCGCAGACGTTGACGGTGCTGGACGAGGCGATGAAGCGGAATCTAGAGATCGTTGGAACGGGTCAGTCCGGCTTGAGCCTTTCTCGTTCTGCCCACTGACCGCAAGTCACGCAGTGAACAAGTGGGACCTCGTCAAGGACGATGAGCGAGGACCCGCTGCCGTACAAGAACTCGCCGACCTGCTCAGCTGCGAAGAATCCGACGTCCTCCGCGTCAGTGCGAAAACTGGCTGGGGTGTCGAGACTGTGCTCGACGCCATCATCGAGCGGATACCACCGCCACCCAGTGCGAAGGAGGGCGAAACGTTACGAGCGCTGGCGTTCGACAGCTGGTTCGACTCCTACCGCGGCGTTGTCAGCTTGATCTCGATCTTCGAAGGCGAGCTGAAGAAGGGTGCGTTCAAGCCTCTCGCTAAGCTGTCCATGTGCTCACGCTGTCGAATTGCAGGCGACTCTATCACCTCGACGATGACGGGCAAGACGTATACAGTTCTCGACGTCGGCATCCTTTCGCCGCGCGAGGTCAGCATTGCGGATCTTCCTGATCCCGACTCGCGAGTATTACGAAAAGGAATGGTCGGATATATCACCTGCGGCATGAAGGACCCGAAAGATGGTGAGGGATCGAGCTCCGGCCTCTCGCGACCTCGAAGCTTACGCTTTACGTTCGCAGCCTTCCTCGGCGACACCTTCCACCTCACTTCGCACCCTACACCACCTCTCGAGTCGTTCAAGCCGCTCAAATCGATGGTCTTCTCCGGCATCTACCCTCTCGACCCCGGCGGCTTCCTCAAGCTTGAAGAAGCGATTCGACGACTTACGCTTACCGACCGCTCCGTCACCGTGAACCGCGAGTCGTCGTCGTTCCTTGGCCAAGGCTTCCGTCTCGGCTTCAATGGAAGTCTACACATGGACGTCTTCCGGCAACGGCTGGAGGACGAGTTTGACGAGGAGGTCATCGTCACCCGCCCGCTCGTCCCGGTCAAGCGTGCGTTCGCTGACTCTCTAACCAAGATGCAAACTCATCTCGTACCACTTGCAGTCGTCTTCAAGGACGGCACGGAGAAGACGATCGACAACCCCGCCGACTTTCCTGATCCCAGCTCGCAGATCAAGGTCGCTGAGGTTCTCGAGCCGATGATCCGCGCTACTATTGTCACGCCAGACGAGCGAGTCACTTCGCAAGTCTCGAGGAAACTCTGGTTGACGCGGATACACTCCTTGGCAGGTATACTGGCCCGATCATCAACCTTTGCACCGTGCGTCGAGCTTCCCCTCCCTTCCAGCCTTCTATGTTAGAAGCTGACGCACGCACGCGCTCTCGCAGTCCGCCCGGGGCCTCCCTCTCTCGCACAACTACCTCTCGACCGGATCCGTCTCCGCCGCTCCCGCCGACCCTAACGCACCCGTGTCCGCCGCACTGAAGCCCCGCGTCTCCATGAGCTACCTCCTCCCCCTCTCGTCCATCATCACCTCCTTCCACTCGACTCTCAAATCCATCTCGTCCGGCTTCGCCTCGTTCGACTACGAGGAAGCGCCCTACGAGTCTTCCGACCTCGTAAGGATGAACATCCTCGTCAACGGCACCAAAATCGATGCGCTGTGCACGGTACTTCACCGCGATGAGCTGGTGACGGAAGCGAGGGCATGGACGAAGCGGTTGAAGGAGGCGATCCCGCGGCAGAACCATGAGGTACGTTCTTTCGTCACTCTTTCGCGCTTTCCTTGTGCAGAACTGACGACTGGGAATACAGGTCATCATACAGGCGGCAGTTGGCCAGCAGATCGTCGCGAGGGAGCGGTACGTCCGCTTTTCACCTTCTTCGCACCGTCGTTGCTGACACGTAGGGACGCAGCGTACCACCGTTTCGTAAGGACGTATTAGCGAAGCTTTATGGCGGAGATGTGACGCGTAAAGCAAGTCGAATCTGGCTCGTCCCCGATCTCTGTCGGCGGTCCTGGGAGCTTCCCGCTGACTTTCCGCCGCTTTTCAGATGAAGTTGCTCGCCAAGCAGAAGGCGGGCAAGCAACGACTTAAGGAGCGTAGTATGTACGCTGCGAACCTTCGACTGGTCTCCCAGAACCGCTCAGGCGCGAAGAAGCTGACAAGCGGTTGAATGCAGTGGGAACGTCACGATCCCGGTCAAGGCTTTCCATGCCGTCCTTGGCGGGCAGGAGATGAAGCGCAAATCAGGTTAGAGCGGATCGAGCGGAAACGGCGGACGGAGAGAGGGAGTGTTGAAGCTGGAGGAGATGTTCGCATTCGCAACTCGCATTTCGCAGTCTCGTCTCTCCGCTGTGGCGAACTGGTGAGATAGAGTGATGCATAAGTTGCACAAGCTGTACACGGCAGAAGTATGGCGAAAGAAAGACGAAAAGGCGATGGGCTCTAGAGGACGTCCTGCCCGAGACGGTACGCAACCAGTCCTTGTACCTTGTGTCGGTTTGTCGAGAACGAGCGGAGCTTGACCTGCATGGGACCAGTAGCTGGAGCTCAGCGCCACTCAACGAAGCTGCGGTAGAACAAGGCCATTCGGACGACGCACCTGCTCCGCGTTGCCGATGATCATGTGTGGGTCCGAGTCTATCCACTCCTTCGGTACCTCGGTGTCCTTCTTGGCGTACATGAGAATGGTGAAGACGTCTGCGCGAGCAGGAGGGACATCAGCTTTCCGAGCATTCCAGCGACAGTGCGGCAGCTCCCTTGGGGCGACCGCCTCGTCTAGCCACAGCGCACTGAAGACGCACATTTCTCCTCGAGTGACGGCAAGAACGTCACGCTCGACGTTATCTGCCGCATGATGTCTTGGATGTCCTTCTGCACCTGCTCGGGCGTCTTTTCCTGCTTAAGCGGCTTTTCCGTACTTGACTTGGCGCCGGTCGGTCTGAGTAACAACATGCGTCAGCCATATCCTTGCAGTAGCGTGAAGCGGCAGGATTTCTCGTGTGCGCGCAGACTCACCCCTCGTTCTCCTTGCCGTCTCCCTCACCCGCCGTCTCCTCAACCTGGATGTCGAACTGCCACCGCTCGACGACTTCTCGCGTATCCCGGTTCATGACGATCAACGCGAGAGAGTCGAGTTTGCCGGCGAGGATCCAGGCTGGAGGAGAGGGAGGAGAGAGGTCAGCTAGGTTGCGACGCGTGATCGCCAAACGGCTTAACAGCTACGTCTACGATGCCGGTACGTTGGATTAAACGCGGCTGGCACCGAGCGACAAGCGCAACCAGCGCTCGTGAAGAGCGAAAGGCCACTCACTCTGCACCTGCTTCATCACGTTCGAGATGTACCGCTCCAGCGCCTCATCCGCGCTCGTGAACAGTGTCAAGCCGTACTTCTTGACCTGCTTGAAGTCTTCCGGAGGGTAGATGCCGCGCTGGTAGAGGATTCTGCGGAAAATCGTGGTCGGTGGTCAGCGCCAATTACGCGCTCCTAGCGGGTGGTACAGCTCGAGAGCGGCGCAGGTATCGCACGGATAGTGGAGAGCTAACGCACGAATTAACCGAGTACTCGAAGAACTCTGTCACGATCTTGGTGCTTCCCTTGAGGCTGAGTGTCTGGCCCTGCTTCCGCTTCGTAGCCATGCCGGGCGCGTCGTAAGAGTGCGAAGGGTGTCAAAAGTGGTTCTGGCGGGAGCGCGCGGTCCTTCGGTCGTTGAGTTGGCCGTGCGAGGGCGTCGAATTGCGCAAAGGGCGATGAGGAGGAGGAGGGGTAGGGCGATGCGAGGAGAAGCGGGCGCGATGGTAGGACCGGTTTAGCGGATCGTTGAGCCCTCGAACAGCAATCTGAGCGGGCACAGCGAGTGAGCGAGGTGTGTGGTGAAAGTCAAGCAGCGTTGACATTGGCGGCGAAGTTGAGTGACCTTTCATGCGGCGTGCACGGCTTCCGACGAACTGTCTGTCAGTCTGCAGGGCTTCATACACTCTCTGAAGATGTCCGGAAGCTGACCGAAGCGGAGGGACGGCGCCAGAGCTGGTATGAACGAAGGGCATTGCGAAGGCGAGATAGTCACGACAAGGGGGAGACAGAACAGCACTACGGGAAGCGAGAAGGAAGCACTGGCGCAGCCAGCAGGAACAAGCGCAACGACCATCCAACGAGAACAACGAATCTTCGCCGCCTCACGACCTCCTCGGCTCGAGAGTGACCGTCTCAGTCGACTCTCCCGCCCTCATCCGCTGGTCGTACTCGTGCTGCTTCTGCTCGAACGACTCGGCACTCTCGCCGTCCCTCCTGACTGGCGGCGCATGCTCGACCTGGTCTGCAAACGGGTTCTGCGCTTGCGGAGGCGGACCAGGCGGAGGGGCGTACGGTCCGGCGTCCGAGCCGAGCTTCTCGTCACTCGGATGAATGCCGTACGGGTTGTCGTATGAGGGGAGATGAGTCGCGTCCGCGCCGCCGGTGTAGAGCGGAGGGGCGGGTCCACCGTACGGCATCGCCGAAGCTGGGTAGGGCGGCTGCATGCCTCCCGAGTAAGGCTGCAGCGGGTAGGCGTACTGTGCCGAATTGGCTGCGTTGACGGCGTGCGTGCGGAGGGTTTGAGGCTGTACAGTAACGCGAGTCAGCGTATCTCGCTTCGAAGCGGACGGTGATTTCGCTAGACGCACGTTCTGGAGCTGGTAGAGGAAGGAGGCGGCGAGCGAGGCGAAGAATAAGGAGAGGAGGATTGAAAAGATGAGCAATGCGATGTCGAACTGCGGCAGAAGAAGAAGGGAAAGATGGAGAGGGTGATGCGTCAGCGGTTACTGCGCAATCCCAATCACGCAGAAAATGAGACCTCGACGCACGTAGGTCATGTTGTTCCAGCTGTCCTTGCAGTAGGTCGCCACATCGCTCGACGACAAGCCGCCGTTCGAGATGTCATTCGCGTACGACTGCTTGCAAGTGTCGATGATGGACGACTTCTCCGTGAAGTGCACGACGGTCCTGATCAATTCGGCGCCGGTGACGATGAGGGCGACGACTGCCGAGCCCCAGAAGTAGGTGCGTGCGAAGCGGATCGACGATTTCCAGGCCGCAAGGATTCCGAAGATCTCGATGCCCGCGGCGACGAAATAGAGGATGGCGAGGACAATGTAGATGAGTGCAAGCTTGGAGGGCGCTGTGAGCGTCGAAAGACAGTCAGAACGCGGAGGAAGGCACTAGGACTCGGAGCGAACTTACTGCCTGCGTCGTTCCTGCGCCGCAAATAGGTCGCAGCGACGATGATACCCCAAACTGCGGGTTCAGAGAATGTCAGTACACAGTCCGCGTCGTCTGCAGCCGCCCTTGTTCAGCAGCAAGAGCGCGAAGGGTTGCCAGCACCGCCTCGCTAAAGGTCGAGGGGGCTTCAAGGTCGCCACAAGCCTCGCTGTGGCCCAAGATCCAGCGCAGCCTCCTAAAAACGTCCAACAATGAACTCACTCGCTGAGAAGCAGGCCACAATGATGACGACGGGCCGCAAGTTGCTCCTCGACGCCCTCCTGCCGATGAACCTCTGCATGCCGTATGCTGGCGGAGCTTCTGCGGGCGGGTCGCGGTTCCTGCAAAATCGCACGGAGGCGGACGGGGCGAGGTTGAGGCGAGAGTTGGCGAGTCGAGGACGTCGAAGAGGCGGGAGAGTCGCAGGAGGGTGAGCAAGTCGGGTGATCCCAATCCTTAGATCGTAATGATCGCGCTGAACACTCACATGTTAGTCCAGCGAGCGTTAGAGCGAGTTCAAGGTCAAGGTCGAGGTCAAAGAGGAGGGTCGACACTTGACCACGCTCTCACTGACGCCTGATTGAGCTGTGGAAGGCTAGAGCGCTCTGTACGGCTCGCTAGACGACTGCCAGACTTGCGCACCCGCCCACCATGGCCCTCGTGCAGGCAGACGAGTCGCCCAACTCTCGCTCGCTGTGAGTGTCGGCCGCACTCGCGCGAGGAAGGCATGGACTCAGGTTCACTGACGTTGACACGTTCGTACAGGTCTTGGGCAAACGCGCTCGTCCTGCTCGAGTCGGCCGCTGTCACCGGCACCGTCCCTCCCTCCGCCTCATCTTTCCTCTCGACGCACCTCGCCCAGCTCCAGCGCCCGCACGATCCGTTCCCGCGGAGTACTCAGAGCAAGACAAAGCTCGCATCGGGCAAGTTCGAACTCGCAAAGAGACAGGTCGAGGTCGCCAAGGAGGAGCAGTCGGCCGCTCTCGAGGTTGCAGACCGGTTCAGTCTTGATGAGGTCGAGGCGTTTCTTGCGCTGAGAAGTGCACGGAGGGACAAGGGGAAGGCAAAGGCGGAGAAGCTGAGCGAGGACGAGTGGGATCGGGTGACAGCATGGGTCTTTGAGGAGAGGATGGCCGTCATTGGCATCGTTGCGCTGCTGCTTCGAACGCGTGAGTCCGTTTGGCACACATCTGCTTGACCCAGGCTGACAGCCGACCCGCAGACGACGACACGACGCACCCCTGCTACGACCTCGCTTCGACCCTCCTCCCTTCCATCCTCAGCGACACGTTCACCTCGACCCTTCTCTCCGCCTTTGCTTCCCGCACCTCGCAGTCTCTTCCCGAAGCCGTCCGAGCATCACCCACACACTCACTGTTTTGGACGAAGCAGCTCGTGCGGGAGCAAAAAGCGCTCCTCGAAATCATCTTCCTCGTCTACTACTCGCCTCGACCAGCCGACGGGCCCGAACTCGCGCGGGTACTCGACACGATCAAATCGACCGAATGGGGACAGCGGCAAGAGCTGTTTGGCTACTTCGATGCCGAGACCCAGGGGATTCAGAAGGAGCTGGCGGATCTCCTCACACTCGTCGCGATCGAGGCGATGAACCTCGAGAGCGCGATGGAGCAGGAGCACCCGATTGGAGCACCAGGCGAACAAGGCGTCGACCCGAAGAGCATCTTTGCGCCTGCACACCTCATCAAGGCCAACGAAGCAGTCGAAGCGCTTGTTCGTCTCGACACGGAGCGGTCCTCGCCTGTACTGATCGGCTGGGCGTTCCTTCTGTCGAAGGTCACGACGTCGCTGCTCGAGCGAGGCGTACCAGAGTCGTACCACGACTTTGCCGAGCAGTCCCTCCGAGTCGAGGCGCCCTCATCCTCCCCGTCCCGCTCGTCAACCCAGCCGCTCTTCCAGCTCTACGCCGCACACGCCCTTTCGCCTGCATCATCCCTCTTCCCGGTTCTCCTTTCGATCCTGCGCTCTCCACTACTTGGCCAGTCCGCCCAACGCGAGTCGTTCTCGTCCTTCGCAGTAACCGAGCCCAACGCCGTGGGATACCTCTCCGTCCTCCGCGGCCTCGTCACCTCCTTGCCCAACCTTATCCGCCTGCCGTTCCTCACCTCGACGCAGCTTAACGGGCTGTGCGAAGTTTTCTCCGCCCTGTACGGCAACCCTTCGTCCGCCCTCCTCTGCGCCCAGTTCTGGGAAGACCAGGCAGTCGTCGCTGCGGCCGAAGCTGCACCCGAAACAAGCATGCTCCTCGACCGGACGGCACAGAGCGCGGGAGAAGCCGAGATTGTCGAGCTGGCGCGGTCGCGCTTCCCGGTGCAATTCGGAGGACTCGTCAGCCTCGTTCGCTCGCTCACGGCGGGCGTCGCGGGTCTCCTGCCGCCGGACCATGCGGATGGCGCAGTCGCATCGAGTGCGGGAGCGTCGACTGACGACGAGCTCTTGGCGGCCAAGTGCGCCCAGAGCACGTTCGCCTACCTCGCGACTCTCCCCACTCTCACGCATGTCGTCCCCTCCGGCCCTTCCGTCACCCCGCTACCGTACGAGACGGCGACCTATCCCGACCCCGATACCGGCTACTCGTACCGCGTCACGAGGCCCATTGGCGTCTCCCGAAGCGTCGTCATCCCGACAGGCGTGCAGGGCCGCTTGATCAGCCAGCACGGAACGAAGCCGGTGGTCGTGGCGTGGGATGTCGAATGGTCGGCATGGCGGCTATTCGCGGACGTGCTGGAGGATTACGCTGGCATGAAGCGGCCGAAGGTCGATGTGTTCGGCAGTAAGGAGGCTTCGACGGATGAGCTGCCGATGAGCTGGGATTCGGAGGAAGAGCAAGAGCGAGACGTTACGGCCGTCCTCCATATTCTTCGCATCACGCTCCGCAACGACCACACCCTCGCAACCGCTCTCATTGATCACCTCTCGTCCTCGCCTGGTCGCAAGGTACCGCCCGGCACAGCCCCGCCTCGATATGACCTCGTCGAAGTCCTCTTCCGCATACTCGAGCGCTCCCTCACACCGAATCCGAATCGCCCTGCTCCAACCGCACTCGTCAGCTCGCTCGTCGGCCTCGTCGCCGCTCTCCTTCCCTCCTTCCCCGGCATCGTCTGGACCTTTTTGCGCGGCTCGGCACTCCTCTTCCCCTCGTCGAAGATGGCCGCCTACTCGCGAACCGCCTCGATTGGCTCATCATCTTCCGGTTCAGCAATTCTGCAAGCAGAGAAGCTGGCAGGCCAGTATCCCGTCACACTCTCGCTCCTCTCGCTCGTCCACGCCCTCGTCCTCGAAGAACAGGTCGCCGCATGCGTCACTTCGGCCGAGTATCGCGACATCAAGCACGGCGTGCTCGTTCGCGCACTCGGCTGGATCCGGGACGAGATCTGGCCCATGTTTGGGTCATGGCGCTTCGCCTCGCTTGCGGAGAAGTACGAGCTCGCGAAGCGGTGCATGCAGCTGTACGGGCTCGTACTCGAGGAGGGCGAGGTTGCGGGGGCGAGCCCGGTCGTGCAGGTCGTGACAGATGCGCTGCTGAGCGCCAAGGCGACCGTCGCGCAGCTCTCGCCGCTGTTGTCGACGCTGGCCGGCGGACCGGACGGCATCCTCCTTCTGCGCAAGGCGGGACGGTACGCAGACGCCCAAGCGCTCGAGGACCTGGTCGATTCGGCACTCGGTCTCTCGCTTAAGCTCCTTCGCCTTCGTCGCCGCAGCAAGAATGTCACCTCGTCGCTGTTCGAGAAGCTCTGCCTCTCGCCGTCGAGCGCGGCATCATTCGGGGCCTCGTCAGCCATCTCGTTCGGCTTCTCGGCAGTACTCAGCGGGCAGAAGCCGACTCGTCGACCAGAGCTCCTAGAATCGCTCGCGCGGTTCATCGTGGCGCCACTCGACACCAAGCTTGCGGTACAGGCGGCTCGACTCGTCTCGCTCCTCTGCCTGGGGTCGAGTGCGGACGACGAAGGCGCGTCATCGAATGGTCGCACATCGCCGGCTCATGCCCCCGCGAGCATGGCTACCCTTCTTGGCGGCAGCGACGGCGTGGAGAAGATCGTGCTGGCCTTGCTGGCGGTCGCAGATAATTCCTTCGCTGCGCAAGACCTCAAAGTCGCTGTTTGGGACCTCGTGCGTGCCGGCGTTCTCGCGCGTCCTTGTTGCGCGCTGACCCGCTCCCACTCTGCAGATCTCGTCCGTTGTTGACTCGCAGCCCGGTCTCGCGCTCCTCGTCGTCACCGGCCGCGCCTACCCCTTCCCTACCTCCGCCAACGACCTCGTTCCGGATTCCGCAACCGATGACAAGGGCAAGACAAAGGAGGTCACCCCTGCCGAAAAGTCGGCACAAGAGCTTGCCAAGTCCCTCGCACCGAAGCCGCCTCCGCCTCTCCCGCGAACAGCGATCTCGCTTGCGCTTGAGAAGCTGGCGTCGTGGTCGGACTCGTGGAAGGAAGAACCTGCCGTTCTCGCCGCCATCCTGCGCTTCCTCGACTTCACCTGGCAGCACCTGGTCGACTACGGCACCGCGCTGGACGACTTGCGGACGAAAGGCTCGACCTGGGACTCGCTCGTCAAGATCGCGTTCGAGAGCATCGGCCCCGAGCCGGTCGAGGAGGTTTCGGTCGCCGCGTACTGTTACCGCGCAGTCGCCCAGGCGCACGCAGTCCGGGTCGTTGCGCTTGACATCCAGGGCGCGCTCAGCAAGGCGAACCCGGAGGGCGCCGCAAGCGTGAAGGCGCTGTTGAGCGCATTGGGCGACTCGCGCAAGGTCAAATCGGCCGTCATCCATGCAGTCGCCACCTCCTGCGCACCGGACCTGCATCAGGGCATCTACGCGCTCGTCCAGTCGGCCTTCCCGAACCTTCACCTCGACACTCTCCGCTACCCCGCTTCGCCTCACCCGCTCGACGACGCTCGCGAGTACGGCACTGGCTACCTCTACGCCATCCCTCTCGTTCGACGACGACTAGACGGCTACATGGCGGATCCGGACGCCATGATTGCGCACGACACGTTCGAGAACGTGATCGCTCAGACCGCCAAGCTCAACCTCAATTTCTCGCTGATCGAAGCGCAGATCCTCGCGACGAGGTCGTGGCGACAGCTGCTCGAGGTGGTCTCGCCGCTGATCCGCAAGGAGGTCGCCCTCGTGATGGCGTCGACGGCATCTCCCGTCGCAAGCGAGATTGCGCAGGAGAGTCGGGCAGGCCAGGTCATGTTGACGGTGCAAGCGGAACGACTGTCGATCCTGCTGGCCATTGTCCAAGTGCTGGGAGTCGTCGATGCGAGCACGAGCAAGGACGTCCTTGTCGATCTCGTCACCGATCTCGCCGCCGTCTTTTCCAACGAGGCGCTCGACCCGCTCGAATCAGTCGCACGTCGGGCGACACCAAGCTTCCACGCGACGTTGTTCCGAGCGGTCTTCTTCGTCGTTCGGCAGGTCAAGGCGCTCGAACCCTCGACTCTCGCTCACGAACAGAAGACGAAGGTCGGTGCCGCCATCGAGTCGCTCCTCCGCGACATGTTTTCGGCGACGCGCGACCTACTCGCAATCGCTCGCGCGACGAAGGATGTCGAGAGCGAGCAAGACTTGGCGCTCGCAGTGGTCCTCATCTCTCAGCTCCTCGCCTCGCCCTTCGTCCCGCCCGCCCCAGTCTGGCTTGCCCACATCCACTCGATCGACCTTCTTCGCTCCGCCTTCGAGGTTTTTGTCAACATGGACCAGCTCGAGCCCGGACGACCCCTTTGCGCTCAGCACGTCCTCGACCTCTGTCTCGCCTTCGCCACCTCGTCACCTCGTGCAGCCGAGCAGCTCCCGCTTGACGGCGCGATGACCGCCTTGACCGACAACGCCCTCACATCCGTCATCGAAGCAGGCGCTGTCAGCCTCGTCTCGCCGACAGACGGATCCCGAACAGTGCAGCACGAGATCTGGACGGGCATGTTGCGCCTCGTCGTCGCGCTCGTCTCGGCGCTGGGCGACTCGACACGCTTCGTCGAGCAGGACGTGACGGGCTTCGTCCGCCTCTACGGCATGCAGATCGTCCAGGCACTCAGCTGGACGTCCAGCACGCCCGTCACGGCTGCCGGCCTCGAGGAGCTTTCCGCGGTCGTTTCACTCATGCACGGTATCGCCAAGAGCAGCATCGCAAGCGGCGTCTCGCCCAACTCGCCCCTTGTCGCTGTCGCCAACGTCTTTGTCGAGCAGTCCCTCCACCTCCTCCAGCACCTCGTCTACGCTCTCCTGCACCCGAATCACCTCGCCGCTCTCATCGAAGGCTTGACGCCCGAGGAACGAGGGTGGCTCGAGATGGAGTCGAGCGAGGCGGACGTCGCAAAGCGGCCAGCGGCAGCGGCTGTCACGCTCAAGGTGGTCGAGCTCGCTCGCGATGTCGTCGGCGCCCTAGTCGACTACTCTGACGCGTGGGGAACGCTGCTGAAGGACTCGATGGACTGGAAGGTTGAGCGAGCGGTCGTCCTGCCAGTAAGTCCGAACTCCAGCTCGTGCCCGTCAAGTCGGACACCGCTGACAGCTTCGCGACGCAGACTGCGACAGTCACGGCGTCAGATAAGGCGTCCCTCGGCACCCTGTTCGACCTGTGCTCGTACTGCATCGACACGCTGCGATCGACGACTTCGACGGCCGCACCATCACTTCCTTCGCCCTCCCCCTTCCCGACACTCCCCAGACCTTTACAGGCCGCGCTTCGGACCGTCTGCTCCGAGATGCTCGAAGCGTCGCTTCTCCTCGCAACGACACAGCTCGGCTTGCATGCGCGACAAGGCGGACAAGGGAGCGGGTTCGCGCGGACGTTGGGCGAGCTGGGGTCGGAGACGGCGGAGATCGTGGACAAGGCGATGGGCTTGACGGGGCCTGAGGCGGATGCGGCGAAGGAGCGGAATCGGAAGGCGTTGTTGGAAGTGCTGAAGCGGAGACTGACAGTGTGAGGGCGCGTCGAGCGGCCTTTTGTAATGACCTATGAAGCCCATCTCTCCGTGTCTTTATGAACCTATCGAGTGACTCGGGAAAGCCTTACGAAGCGAGAGAAGCGCGAATGTCGCGGCAGGGTGAGTGATCCTGGCCTTCGCCTCGTCCTCTTCACCCTGCCTCGCTCGTCCGGTTGCTTTCCCTGCTCCGATGGCTCGCAAGAAGGGTGTGCCTCAGCGCTCTGGCCTCACACGCGCCGACTACGAACGGACGCAGCGGGAAGAGGCAGAGAAGGAGCGTCTGGAGGAAGAGGAGCGGAGGAGGAGGCAGACGGCGCTCGCGGCGATGGTGCAGGCGCGAGGGCCAAGCGGTGGTACTGCACAGTCCAGTGAGTCCCTCTCGGAACACCCACAGCTCGCGGAGAGTCGCTCATCTGGCTGTCATCTCCTCCTCGCGCCGAATAGGCTTCCAAGGTGAGCTCGCTCGTCCGCTGCTCTGCGAGGTCGCAGTTGATCACATCTTGACGTACTCGCAGCGCCGGCTCCGCCTCTGCCGCTTCCTGCGGGCGTGGCCGCTCCCTTTGCCCTCCAGCACACTCCTTCCCCACCTGTCCCTCTCGCGACGGCTTTCCTGCCTTCTATACCGCCGCCTACGATCGCCGGACCCGCTCAGGTCTCCACGATGCAGCCTGCATACGCACCAGCAGGTCCGCCGATGCCTCGGCTGGGCTCATATGGCCCGTCTTCCCTTCCTCCGCCTTCTCAGACCAACTCGCTTCAGCCGCAACAGCAGCCAAAATTCGAGCATCCGCCCGGCCTGAACCGCTACGCCGAGCTGTACATCCCTGTATGGCTTCGGCGGGTCAACGCCGACGTGCCCTTCCAGACTATCCCTCGAAGCCCGGCCGAATCCTTCTCCATCGACTATCAGCCTCTGCACAACGCCATATACCCGCCGCAGCTCATCTCGCATCTCCAAGACATCGAGCGAGCGAACTCCTCTCACATCCTGCGCGACCACTTCACTCGAAGCCGTGCACAATCACCCTCGTCGGGTCCAGGTCGACCGCCCGCCCTTCCTCTTGCGCCGCAAACATACGCCGGGCATTGGCTACCTCTCCAACAAGCGGAATACACTGCTCGCGGCCTCCAGCTGCAGCAGGCGAACCTCTACGCTGTCCCTCTTCGTCCGGTGGCGCGACACCCCGCCGATCCGCCTGGCCCTCCTCTATACATCCTCGAAGCCCGCTCCATCCGCGAAGGCTGGCCGCCTGTCGACCTCGGCGACATCCTCAACCTTCGGCAGCTGCGACCAGCGTACTCGACCTGGCAAGGCCTCGAGTTTCACGCGAGCGTTGCGGGCATCAACCGGGCGGCTGGCGAGGTCATGTTGCGCTGTGACGGGCTGCGAGGCTATGAGGAGTCGATGGTCTTCAACGTCATCTGGCGGGTCCAGGACAGGATCTTTAATGAATGGCGGCACGCGACGGAGCTACTCCAGCTTCATCTCGGCAATGAGAAGGCGGCGACGAGCGCAACGAACGGAACGCCGACGAAGCGACGGCGGACTGCGGTCGAGAGCTGGCTCTTCCCGGAAAAGGAGGATGTCTCGCTCGATGCATCGGCCCCGACCAAGGAGGACCTCGAGCCGGACTGGGTCGACTCGAGCCTGAACGAGGAGCAGAGGAACGCGGTACGGTCGATGCTTTGGGGCCGGCACCGCTGTCCTCTCCTTCTTCACGGTCCGCCCGGGACGGGCAAGACGAAGACGCTTGTCGAAGGCGTCTTTCAGATCCTCGCGCGACATCCAGACGCCCACGTTCTCGTCTGCGGCGCCTCCAACCCTTCCACCGACACTCTCGCTACGCGATTACGAGCCCTCGGTCCGAAGAACCTCTTCCGCCTCAACTCGCCCAGTCGGCCCTTCGCCGAAGTGCGTGGCGAGCTCTTGCCCTTCTGCCACGTCGAGAACGACCGCTTCGCCCTCCCGAACATGTCGACGCTTCTCTCGAAACGCGTGATCTGCTGCTCAGTGCTGGACGCGAGCATCCTCCTGAAGGGACGCGTGACGAACCACGACCTGTCGAGTCTCGAGGTGTACACCGCGGGCAGTATCCACCCGCACAAGCCTCCGCCTCTCGCCCAACCGCACTTCGCATACCTCCTCGTCGACGAGGCGGCGCAAGCGACCGAACCGGACATCGCATGCGCCCTCAACGTCGTAGCGACAGACGACTCTCGTTGCCACCGAGCTCACGTCACGGTCTGCGGAGACCCGAAGCAGCTCGGCCCACATATCGTTTCCGAGGAGGCGAGGAACCAAGACTTCGACGTCTCGCTGCTTGAGCGGCTGATGGAGCGACCAATCTATGCCGACCATCCGTACTCGCGGCGGAACCGGTCAAGGCACCCGGATGTGCGCTGGGAGATCAAGTCAACTCCGTTCGTCGACCTGGTCCGCAACTTCCGCTCAACACCCGAGATCTTGTGGCTGCCTTCGACGCTCTTCTACCACGAAACGCTCATCCCGAACGCCTCGCGAAGCGTGCAGGAGAGGTCAGTACACCCGTTCATTTGTTGTCTTCGAGCATCCTCCTGACGCCCGTTTCGCAGCCCGCTACGAGCGTGGTCTCGCCTTTCGAACCCCGGCTTCCCCATCCTCTTCCAGCACGTCAACGGGCAGGATATGGACATCGACGAAGGAGCGAGCTTCTACAACATCGAGGAAGTGGACGCCGTTGTCAGCCTCATCCTCTCGCTCGTTCGGCCACCTGTCGACCAGTCGGCGCACGGCATGGTTGCGGCGAAGGAGATCTCGGTCATCAGTCCGTTCCGCGAGCAAGTCTGGCGTATCCGTCTCGCTTTGCGAGCCGTCCAGCTCGGCGAAGTAGACGTCGGGAACGTCGAGGCGCTGCAGGGTGCCGAGAAGTGCGTCCTCCCTTTCATACATGCTTGACCGTTATTGATTGTCCGCTTCGCAGCCGCATCGTTATCATCTCGCCTGTTCGCTCGAAGGAGCTTCGCTGGCTTCCCATCGACCGCGCGCAAGACCGAGGACTGCTGCACGCGCCGAAGCGTTTCAACGTCGCCATGACGCGGGCCAAAGAGCTCCTTGTAATCGTCGGCAACGCGCACACTCTTACGGTGGGTACCGCCTGTCCTATTGAAGCAGCGCGCCGACTGAAGCGCCCGTTCCTTCCGCAGGCCGATCCATGGTGGCTCGCCTTCTACCGCCTCTGCGTCCGAAATAACTGCTACGTCGGCCCGCCTCTCGCCAATCCCGCAGCGAAAGAAGCCGGTCACGCCGTCTCGAAGCTCGAGCAGCGCTACCACGCCGAGCGGTCATCCCGCAACTCGCCCGCCCTTTCGCCCGGTGCGAACGGCAAAGCGGACGGCGACGACAGGCAGGCGCAGGACAAGGCCTTCGACATCCTGATTGGCCGGCTCGTCAGCGCGACAGTCAACGAGGACGAGTCTTGAGCTGCAACGCCGTTTACAGCCCAACGCACACAAAGAAGCTAGGAGAGAATAAAGTATTGACAGGGAACGAGACAACGCTACAAAGGATTTGGGTATAGGTTTCTCTCGACGAGACACTGCTCAAAGCTTCCGCTGCCCCTCGGCGCTGCTTCGTGGACTCGCACCGGCACTTCCTCCGCTGGCAGTCCGGCCGTGCTTCGACTTGCCGCTTCCGAACAAGCGAGAGAGGAAGCCGCTCTTTTCCTTCTCGTCTTGCGGGTGCCGCTTCGACAGCTTGCGGTGAACGCTCGCTCCGCCGCCCGACGAAGGCGTCTCGACGACGTGCCGAGCTGGAGCGGCGGTAGTAGGCGTCGCAACGGTGTGAGGCGCCGTAGCCGTCTGACCAGTAGGCTTCGCAGCTTGAGCAGTCGATGCGGGTGCGGCAGCAGGCGTAGCAGCATGAGTCCCGGCGATGCCGACAGGCGTGTGCGCCCTCGCGCCCTCGAGTTCCGGCACCATCTTCCTGCCTTCCGGGTGTGACGACGCAATGCCCGTGACGGTGGAGGTTGGCGGCACGCCTTGGTACGTGACCGCGCTGCCGGGGTCCTCGATCGACTTGCGAGGCGGCGTGGCGACTGATGCTGGGCGGTCAGACGAGGTGCGAGACGCAGGCGAGACGGCAGTCTGAGGCGGAGTCGTCGGGGCCGAGCGACTCGGCGTCACGGTCGGGTCTGCAAGCGAGAAAGTTGTCAGTAAAACGTACTGCAAAGGCAAGAAAGCTCGCTGGGCAACGCACCAGGGACGCCGATCATACTGTTGAGCAGCCTGTCGCGCCTGTTCTCGCTGGCGACGGTGTCGAGCGGCGGACGCTGACCAGCCGCGCCTGTCGGACCCGAAGCGGCGGCGTTCGAGACGGGCGCTGCGGCGCGCTGGCCGTGAGGTTGAGCAGCGCCGTCGTGACCGTGCGTGTGAGCGGCCTTGCCGTGGCCGTGCTCGTGATGGTGCGCGGCAGCCACGGCGGGAGCTGCAGCGAGAGCAGCCGGATGCGCATTCGCCTGCCTGGCTGCGTGAGGCGGGCTCGGCTGCCTCGCGACGTTAGGCGGGCTAGGCTGCCTCGTTGCTCCAGGCAGGCTCGACTGCTTCGCGCGATCGAGCTCGTGCGACGACCGGGTAACGCCGACAAGCGTGGGTGCCGTGTTGGCCGTCAAGCTCTTGCGGTGAAGACGCTTGCGACCGTCGACCTTGTGCGTCTGGATCTTGAGGTGCGGGCTCTTCTCGAGCACGCCGGCCTCGAAAAGCGACTGAGTCGGCGTCGCGTTCTGCGTCGGTCCGCCGGGCGTAGCGAGAGGCGTCGTAGCAGCGCTGCGTTCGTGGACAGACGAGGGCGGCGAACCCATGACGGCGCGAGTGCTGCTCGGCGTCTCGGCGCCCGAGGGAAGCGCAGTCTCCTCCGTGAAGCGAGAGACGGGCGTGCGAGGGGCCTTGGCGGGCGTTTGAGTGACCGGCGTCGCCGAAGTCGCTGCTTGCGGCTCGCCAACGGGTGGAGCGATACCAGCGGGCTCTGCGCTTGTCGAGACGGGTTCGGCGGCGTGAGCGGACGAAGGTCCTGCTGCGGCTCTGGCGGCTGCAGGCTCAGCGCCGGCGTGGTCGTGCGAGAGGAGGTCGGCGCCTGCAGCGCCAACACCGATACCGGCAAGTCCTGCACCCGCAGCGAGAGCGCCATGATGCGAGTCCTTCTCCTTCTCCGGCTCGACCGCCGCCTCCTTCGTCGCATTTGGTGCGGGTGCAGCGGCTCCTTCGGCGATAGCCTGCTGCTCAGCCTGCGGTGCCGGCGTGCTGAGGTGCGCAAAGTCCTGCATGGCGGGCGTGATCTCGCTTCCGACGTTCGTAAAGCCCGCCTGCTCAGGCGTCGTCGCCGGCACGGCCGCAAGTTCCTTCGGATCGAGGACTCGAGCGCGTCGAGCGGCTTCGCCGTCCCCGACGGAAAAGTCGTGGATCGCCTCATCCGTGCGCATCATGTGCGGGACGGAGGGGTAGGCGCGTTGGTCGTTGAAGAGGTCGTGCTTGCCGGCGGGCGAAGCGCCGGTTTCGCCTTCCTCGGTAGTCAGCGGCTCGTCGTTATCGTTGGTCGAGTCGAGGTTCTCGCGGAACTGCGAGGCGGGAGGCGCCGCGGTCTCGTTCTGCGAAGGGGGCACGTCATTAGCAGACACCTCCGAGAGTCGCAGGAGAGATTCTCCAGCCCACCTTGTCACCTTCAAGCATCTCCTTCATCCCGACGCCCGCACCAACCCCCGCCGTCCCGAGCGCCGCCGCACCAAGCACCTCCTTCCCCTTGCCCTTATCGACCTTCTTCGGCTCCTCCTCTCCCTCAATCGCAGCCGGTCCCTCCTCCAACGCAGTCTGCATCGGGATCGACTCGCCCATAGGTTTCTGCACCCCTGCACCTACTCCACCAGCGTCGAGTTGGTCGTGTTCCGGTGAACGAGCATGGGGAACACTTGCGTCCGCTTCACTCGGGAGTTGCTCTGCATCTTGCTTGGCATTCTGCGCGTTGAGCGTCTTTAGGTGCGACGGAGCGTGGGCGGGAGGGACTTCGGTCGCGTCTGTTGAGGCTGAGGCAATGGAGGCGGAGGAGGGGTGTGAGGCGGTCGTGGAGGAGACGGGCGAGACAGAGGGCTCGACGGCGGGAGGGGTGTAGGGCTCGAAATCCTTCGGCTGCGAAGACGTCGAGTGTCAGAGGTCTGAGGAAGGCGAGGGGAGAAGGAAGGACTCACGGTGTTCTTCTGGACGAGGTCGGGACCGAGAAGGGCTGCTCCTGCTGCGGTACCAGCGACTGCGGCGGGGGCCTGCGATCCGCGATTGTCAGCTCTCGTGATCCCACGTACGAAAGAAAAGGTACGCACGAGCGGCGACGGGTTATGCACGATGCCCCCCTCGCCTCCCTCGCCTCCCTTCTCCCTCTCCGCATCGTCCCGCGGAAGATCCCGATCATCAGCCACCACCACCCCCTCCTCTCGCATCCCAAAGCCGCTGACAGCAGGCCCCGGAGCCTCGGAGGGCGTGTGGACGCCCGAACCGGCGGCTAGGACGTCGGCTGTGAAGGAAGTCAGGGAGGCTTGAGGGAGGGGAAGGGCGGGGCGGGTAGAGTTGTTGGTAGACTGCGAGGAGTTGGAAGTATGGGGGAGGAGAGGAAGAAGCACATTGAGAAGGTCAGCCCGGGAAGTACTTATAAGCGAGCAGAAACCGACGCACCTCGCGCTCGAGCGCCTCTCCTCCAGCTCCTTCTCCAGCCGAAGTCGGACTCGGCACGCCCGCACCCGCCTCAACAGCCCTCTGCGTCGCAACCTCCAGCGGTGCCCTCGCAGGCTCTTCAACCTCGTGCGAGACAGCTCCCTTGGCGCCTGCTGCGCCGGCGAGGAGGGCGACTTCGTCTGCGGCGGTCGAGTCGGTACGGGCGAGGAGTTGCTGAGCGGGGGAGGCGGCGAGAGCGGCTTGCTCTTTCTCGATCGCGGGAGTGCCGAAGTCTGGCTGGGCGGGCGATGTTTCGGTAGCAGTCGTAGCGGGCTGCATGCAACGTCGTCAGTTTCAGATCACGGAGAGTAACCCGAGCGAACACACCTCGACGGCACCCTTGCGCTCTGCCTCGTCGTCCTCGGTTCCAGGCGCCCTCACCTCATTCTCCTCGATCTTTGCGCCCGCTGCTCCCGCCAGCAACGCTCCGCCGAGAGCTCCTGCGCCCGTGATCTCGGCACCCTCACCGCCATCTCCGCCGACGAGCTTCTGCGCGGGCGAGGAAGCGAGCGCAGCGTGTTCCTTCTGGACCGCCTCGTCTCCAAACTCGGGCCTCTTCGCCTCGTCCGCATGGCTCGCTTGAGTACCCGCCGTGTTCTGCGTCGAAGGAGGCGTCGGAGTCGTCGCCCTGTCCCCAAACCGCTTCGCGATCCCCTCTCCCTCGACGACACTCAGTCCCGCCAATCCCCCTCCAATCGCCGCTCCCACAGGTCCTCCAACCACGAAGCCCGCCGCAACACCCAACAAAGCCCTGCCAGCTCCTTCGATACGATCGTGCGGCTGGGTGAGCGGGTCAAGCGCCGTTGCAGGGTCGGTCGCGGGCGAGTCTGTCGGGTACGACTGCGAGCTGGCGTGTTGGCCCGGTGCTGGCGTGGGAGGGTAGAAGCCTGGGAATGAGTCGTCCAAAGTGGGCGCAGGCGAAGGCTCGGGCGCTGCCATTGCAAGACTGAGGAGGCGAGCAGGTCGAGGTGGGGAAGCGGGTCGAGGGAGTGAGTGAGAGGGCGGTGGACTGGGAGTGGTAGCAAGCTGGTCTCTTCTCGAGTAAAGCAGTGATATAGCTGGTTCAAAGCAGGAAAGAGAGAGCGAGAACGACGAGGAGGAGAGTTGCTTGCTGCGGGAGTAACGACGTCATCCTTGTCGACGCACGCAGGGAAACTGAAGCGCGCATTGCAACCGGAGGGTATCCTTTACATTAGCCCGCACACACCCGATCAGCGCTAGGAGACGTCGGGCGAGAGTTGCGATTAGAGCGAGCTCGAGCGGTTGTAATCGAGTTGTATTCGTCCATGTGTATTCAGTCCGAATACTCCCAAGTTTGTATTCAGCCATTACCTGCGACCTCTCTCGCTCGTGTCGCTCCTCGTCTCCGCGCTCCTGATCGGTTGAAGAGCTAGCGGACCTTCTCTGCCTCCTCCACTAGCTTCCCGTACAGCTTTGCCCTCCCGGTGAGCCGTCGTCGCTGTTCCCCCAACCTCATCACCTCGGCACCTCAAAGGAGGTCTGCAGTGCTCGCACGACAGTCGGGCGGCCTATACAGTCACGGGATAACACACCAAGCGTCCACTGCAACGGCTCACTGACCCACCTCGCCCCGACAGCCGCTCAAGACCGCATCTCACCCACCTCCGAACCACCCTCACCTCCTCGAATCCCTTAACCATGGCCGCACCCGCCGCCGCCTCGTCCGGCGTCTCTTCGAAGCTCACGCAGCTGTGGAACAGTCCTGCAGGTGCGTTCGCTCGATCTTCTGGGCGCTCAGATCGAGGGCGGAGGGATCCCGAGGTCTGGTGCTCCTTGAGAACATGGAAGACGCATGCTGACGGGGTCTTTGCGCGTCTTACAGGACCGAAGTGAGCAGGACGGCGTGTGCAGAGGCTAGGGAAGAAGCTGACCCGTCACTGTCGCGCAGGACCGTCTTCTTCTGGGCACCCATGTTCAAGTGGTGCGTGACCGCGCCGCGTCTCTTGAGCTCGTGCGGCCCTCCCATGCTGACCTCGCTCTATTACCACATCGCGTGCTTGCAGGGGCCTCGTCGCCGCCGGCCTGAAAGACCTCTCCCGACCCGCCGAGGTGATCTCAATCCCCCAAAACCTCGGTTCGTCCCCTCCCTCCCTCACTCCCAACATCTCTCACACTGACTTTGACCATACAGCCCTGACTGCGACCGGCCTGATCTGGGTGCGGTATTCGTTCGTCATCACGCCTGTCAACTATTCGCTTGCGGCGGTCAATATGTTTGTCGCGGGGACGGGGATCACGTCGCTGTACCGGGCTCTCGAGTGAGTTTGCGCGATCTGTGTGACTGCGAGGCGGCAGGATCGGACGTGCGGCTTCAAAGCGTCCAAATTCGATCCTCGCTCGCCTTCGTCAACTTACAAACCTCCCGCTGACTCGCTTAACCTCCCGCAGCTGGCAGCGCAAGTCACCAGAAGAGCAAGCCAAGATCCGCCTTGAGACGGCCGAGGCAGAGAAGGCGAAGGACGCAGCAAAGGCGCTCGCAGCCTGATTCTCCATGCACTTTCCTCCCGGGTTCTCCTCGTTGTTCATCTTCTCGCTTTCTTGCATCGCTCGTTTGGTTTCGTTGGACTCTACGGAGAGATGATTGTGACGGACTTGCGCGGAGAGCGAGCGAGCGTGTGCCGAAGAGGCGGCCACCTTGCCGGGGACGTTGCTCTCTCTCGCTCTTCCTCGACAACTCTCGCTGGACCAACGAGATACACGAGCCAGGATGTCGAAAGTCACAGACGCAGAAGGTGCGTCCTGTTCGTGCTCGCTGGGACTGTGCGCCTCGCTCACCCCCACCTCTTCCTCGACCTGGCTTGGGACGATGTAGCGCAGCGGATCATGTCGTGCGTGCGCCGCTCTCTCGCGCTTTACGATGACTTTGCTGAGTTGTGTTGTTCTGCCCGCAGCCACATGAACAAGGACCACGAGGACTCGCTCGGGTGCGTCCTCGACTCGCTCGTCCCTGCCATCGAATACTTGCTCTCTCGCTCGTTCCATCGGCTTACGCCAGCGTTTCGTGTGCAGCCACTACCTCGTCCACTTCGGCCGCATCCCCTCCCGCCTCGCCCATTCCCACCCTCAAATCACCACCTTCACGACGCCGCTCATGAAGATCGCCTACGGACCTGACGGGAGGAGGAAAGAATGGACGTACGAGTTTAGTCCCCCGATGCATGCGGGTGAGGCGAGAAAGAGGTTGGAGGCGATGCATCAGGAGGCAAAGGTTGCGCTCGGAATCGTGAGTCTAGCACGAGGACGTTGCGTCGCTTTCGGCGTGCTTTCGCTGAACAAGGGCGTTGTTTTCTTCTGCGTGGTCACTCACAGAGCGACGTTACGATCGACCGCGTCACCCTCCCCGTCGGCGCATACGGCGGCGCCATCCTCTGCACCGCACTAACCGCCGCAATCCTCTACGCCTCTCCCTCCCGCCTCGCCTCGACGCTCAAATACCAATCTCACATCCTCTTCGCCCCGATCGTCCGCGCCCTCGGACTGAAAGAGTCGCCGCACAATATCGGGCGAGCGATTCAAGGTTTCTGGCTCGTCGCGCTGTATGGGGCGCATTTGGCCGAGGCGATGTTCTGTCTCCCGCCACATCTCAAGGCGTACAACGTCAAGAACAAGGCGGTGCGGTTGACTTATGTGCGTGCGCGCAGAGGCCCGTGTCGTTCGTTCGCGAAACGGAGACTGATCATTTGACACGGCGCGCAGTTCATCCTCACGATCCTCGGCGGCTTCCCGGTTTGGATTGGACTGAGGGACGCTGGCAAGGCCGAGGAACGCAAGCTCAAGTCGCAGTAGACAAGGAGGAGACGAGTTGTAGAACCGAGATTCTGTTGCCATTCTTCTGTCAGTCTCGTTTCGGGGGTTATTCCGGGACTCGTCAGCGATCTCAATCGTCTCTCGGATTCGTTCACATTCGCAGAACACGAAAAGAAGCGAGTGACAGCGCGACTCCGCCGTCCCCGCTCCTTCTCCTCGTCCACTTTCCACTTCCCGGCTAAAACGATGGCTCCTGCTACTACGACCGCCTCAGGGCGTCCGAAACGGAAACGCCAGCGCCGCAGACGCACCAACATCAGCTCCGACGAGTCCGACAGCTCGTCGTCGAGTTCATCATCCTCGGGCGACTCGTCGTCCGACAGCGAGTCCGACAGCCCTGCCGCGCCTGCGCCCGCTCCAGTCCAACCTGCACAAGCATCAAAAGCGACTGAGCAGGCTGAATCGAGCGACTCGGGCGACGAGGATGCGGAGTCCGACTCGAGCTCGAGCAGCAGCGGGTCCGACTTGAGCTTCTTGAGCGATACGGGGGACCGGGGTGGACGACGGAGGGGGCGTGGGAGACGACGGGCTGCGCAGGCGGCGGCGGACGGGGCGGTCAATGGGTCGGCAGCGGCAGGTCCAGCGACGGGCGACTTGCAGCAGACGGGACAGGCGAGCGAGGCGCGGAGACCGTATCCTGAGCGCTCTCCGTCTCCTTCAATGCTTGTACGAGCAGACCCGAGTTCGTTTGTCCCGCTCGGGACGAGCCTGTTCCCGTTGTTGCAGGCGCGAGTGGACAAGCAGAAGGAGGAGGGGGCCAAGGTGCTGGACGGGCTAGTGGAAGGGGACGAGGGGAACGATGCGGATGCAGAAGAAGACGAGGAGAAGGGCAAGAAGCGCGAGGACCGCTTTGGAGACTGGTGGCGAGCGCGGCTGGTCAGCGAGTTCGAGGGAGATTTGGGTAGTCTCGCCGCGGTGCGCTCCTTTCCCTTCCTTTGGCTCATGGACGAGTTGCTGATACCCCGTTCGTCCGCAGGAACCCGGCCTTACGCCCTCACGACTATCCCTCCTCCTGACATCCCTCACGACCCTCTCTTCCCTCCACACCTCTTCCGCCGCGCCCGCCTCTTCGATCTGGAAGCACAATCCTTCCGCCTCTCTCGACCCTCTCGCATCTCTACCTCGTCCTTCAGCAGACGACGACGCGTTCATGGGCGGCGCAGACGGCGAGGACTGGGCGCGAACGAAGGTCGGTGGAGAAGGCGACGTCGAGGTTGGCGCGGAGGGCGTCGTCGCGGACGAGAAGCGGAGCGTGAAGGCCAAATCGAAGAAGGAGAAGCGCAAGTCGCTTCCTGCGCCGCAGGTGGACGAGGTGAAGGAGCAGGAGGTCGTCGCGTCGAGTCCGGCGAAGGAGGGCAAGAAGGAGAAGAAGAGTCGCAAGAAGGGTCGGAAGAGTGGCGTGTCAGAGGCTGGAGACGCGATGGACGTAGATGCGTGAAGTCTCGCTGCCATCCTTCAGCACTTTTCGAACTTGCGAAACAGGCGCCGCCCATCTCGGCGACTCCGCGGATTGTCCGGCTCGGTCGCAGCTCCTCGTCCCTCGTCCTCTCCTCCCTCGCCGCTTCATTGAGGTGCCATACAGCTGTGCTGACAAGGCTTGCTGTCGTGCTTGAACCCGTCCACCGTCTCGACCTTCTCAAGCTGTCGTCCGTCGCTGCGCTCTTCCTCTCGTTACGATGCGGTCTTCGAGGACACGACTAGGGTTATCCGCCTCTACCGCACTAGTTACGTTGTTGCTGGCGGTAGGCGTCGGCGCGAAGGACCGCAAGATCACCGTCACCAACACCTGTTCGTCCTCCTTCTCCTTCTCTCATTCCTCGTTTCGTCGAGCTTACCGTCCCTCGCTCTCGACAGGCACGTATACGATCTGGGCTGGACTGCTCACGTCTGTCGGTCCCAAGCCGAGCCAGCCGACAGGATGGGAAATGCCGGCGGGCTCGACGATTTCGTTCACGGTTCAGGAGACTTGTACGCGCCTCTCCCTGCGCTCTCCTCGGAGTTTATGGACTGATAGATTTCGCCGTTCACAGGGGGTGGGCGAGTCTGGCCTCGGTGCGTTCTAGCAGAGCTGAAACCGCTTCTCTCGCCTGATCCCTAAGTCGTGCGTTCTACGGCCGCAGAACTGGTTGCGATTTCTCCGATTCGTCGAAACCAGATTACGCTCAGTGTGCCAGTGGCGGTTGCAAAGGAGGACTCCTTTGCACAGGTGCGTTGCGAGCGACTGAGCTCGTTTTTGACCGACTTCGACTGACGTCTCTTTTGTTCGTTCTCTGCAGAGTCAGGTGTTCCTCCTTGCACCCTGGCGGAGTTCAACCTCCAGGAGAACGTCGACAACTGTTCGTCCCTTCCCTCGACGTCGCTAGCATCTTGCGTTCGGCTCAGGCGGCGATGCGGGAACACTCGCTGACATTCCAGACTACCCGGATAGACGATTTGAGTCTGGTCGACGGCTACAACGTCCCCATAGCGATCACGAATTCTGCGGATTGCTCGTTGGCGAACTGGTGAGTTCCCCATCGCTTCTAGTCACAAGGGTCGTCAAGGGGAGACCATTAAGGCATTTGCCGCGTTCGATGGCGCTGCTTTCAGCTTGCCGCAGGGGTTCAAGCGATGGCTGGCGCTAGCTGACCCTCCTGGTCGTCTTCGTTTCGCAGTCCGTATGATCTGCTATCCAGCTGTTCATCCGAGCAACAGCTCAAAGACGATAAGGGGAAAGTCGTTGCCTGTAAGACGGACTGTGCAGTTCATCCCGAGAATGAGCAGGTGCGTCGCGTTAACGGCTCCGTTCCTTTTGCCTGGCTGACTCCCTCCTCGTTTCTTGTACAATGTCCCGGCGATCAGTACTGCTGCAGCGGCGCGCACTCGAAGCCAGAGCAATGCCCGGCGAGCGGCATTCCGCACTACAAGTGGTGGAAGGACAGGTGCGCTGGCTCTTGCTCGCTCGCAGGCGCACGATTTTCCAGGTATGGCTGATGGTCGACCTCGCGTCCGTTCACAGCTGCCCGTATAGTTACGTTTACGCTTACGACGAGTCTTCCGGGACGGTGCGCACCAGCTCTGCGTCACTGAACGATAGAGGGCTCGCTAACCTCGCTGCGTTCCTGATGTCCAGGCTCTCTTCACCTGCGAGAAGCGGGTCGACTACGTCATCACGTTCTGCCCGGACTCTTCGCTGTACCAGACTTCTACGTGCGTGGTCGTAAAGCCTTCCTCGAAGCGTCCGACGACTGACCTTCGCTACATCGCTTCTATCTCGAGCAGGGTGGTCCTGCAGACAAAGACGGTAACGCAAGGCAGCGGTCAGAAAACGCAGGCCATACAGAAGGTTACGACGACGCTCGCAGCAGGCGGGGGCGGCGGGAATAACGCGTCGCCGACCTCGACGCCGTCGAGCGGCGGCGGGACACAGCCTGCGTGAGTGTCCGCAGTCTCGCTTATACTTCTGGGGGAATTCGTGCTGACGTCTTGTTTCGCAGCGCGACTGGCGGTGGCGCTTCGTCTGGACCGCCCGCAGGAACCAGCGGAAATGCGCCTTCGCAGACCGGCGCGGCAGGTGCCTCGTCGACCGGGGCTGGCGCAGGTTCGGGTCCGTCCGCAACGTCTGGCGGGGGAGCAGCATCGCCGACGGATACTGGAGCAAGCGGCGCTAGTCCAACCGACACGACTGGTGGAACGACAGGCGGGACAGGCGGGTCATCGGGCTCAAGCTCGGGCGATACGTCCTCGTCGGACTCGTCGAGCTCGAGCAACACTATTTTCGGCCTTTCGCCGACCGTCGCCTACAGCGCCGGCGCTGTGGCTGCTCTCCTCGTCATCGGCGGATTCGCCTTTGCCGTCTACTCGAGCAAGAAGCATGGTCACGCTGCCGTGAAGTCGGACGGGTCCTCGGCTTCGGACTCGTCGAGTGAGGACGAGAGGGGCGGCAGCTCACGGCACAAGAAGAAAAAGAAGGACGACTCGAGTTCGAGCGATTCGAGCGACGACGACGACGATGACCGTGACCGCTCACTGGCGAAGTTCTCGGCGCTCGAGCAGGCGGAGAAGCGGGCGGCGAGCGAGAGCGTCTACGCGCAGGCCGCAAGGCATCCTGGAGGACTGGCGGGACTGCTCGGCGGCGAGTCGGGTCGCGCTGGTACAGAGACACTCTTCGAGCTCCCGAGGGGATCTGACAGTAGCGGTAGCGAGGCGGAGAGCTTGAGGGCGCCGTCGAGGCGGGTCCTGCGGCAGGCGTACCAGTGAAGTAACGCGAGCTTCTTCTCTCCTTGGCATCTTCTACATAGACTTGATATCGCACAACATGCCATTGCGAATGCACTTCTAGCCCCGCAAAATGATCCCGATAACCCCAGAACGCGACGAGCCCGCACCCGCTAGAACTGCATGCCGCCGTATCCTGACCCGCCGAACCCGTCCGCCGCGCTCGCTCCGCTCATCGTCGGCCAGTCAAACTCGCCGTCGAGGCTGAAGAAGCCCTGTCCGCCTTCGAAAATGGTCGGGCTGACGCCGCTGAGTAAGGCGGCGAACGGGTCTTCGACGAGAACGGGCTGGGCGGGCGTCGGAGCAGACTGCGCTGCGGGTCGCGCTTGCTGCAGTTGAGCGGCCATCGACGAATGCGCCGCATTGTGCGCGTAGCCGGAGGGAGGGGAAGTCATAGGCGACGGGTTGTAGGACGAGGCGAGCGAGAAGTCGGTGTAGGCGGAGAGGGCAGCGGCAGCCGATCCAGTCGCTGCGATGCTGGCGAACGAAGTATGCGATTGCGGCGCGGCGGGACGAGCAGGTGCAAAAGGAGGGAAGACGGGAGGAGCGAGGGTAGTTGGTCGCGCTTGCTGCTGCTGTTGCTGCTGCTGAGCCTGGTGGAGCTGCTGCGAGAGCGCTTGGAAGGAGGGAACTGCTGCCGCGCCGGACGGGACGAGTCGTGGACTGGACGGTGCGCTCGTCGCTTGCCGTCGTCCGCTGATCCCGGCGTCCCACACTTTGCGGAGGAAGGCGGCTTGACGGACGGACGGGTGGTGCGGGTTGGGCGCAATCGCGTCAAGCAAGTCGGCGCCAAGCTGGAACAGGCGGCAGAGCTTGTCTTCGGGCGACATGGGAGTCGGCGGGAGAGGCGACGAGCCGGCTGCGATGACGGTAAGGTCGGAGCGGAGCAGGCCTTCGTTGGCGAGCTTAGCAAGGAAGATGAGCGGATAGCTGAACATCTGTGAGGCGCGGCGAGTGAGCGAGGGGAACGGGAGATGCCAAGGACGGGAACGTACGACGCAGGTCAGGCTGTCAGAAGCCCACTTAAGTGTCTCGACGACTTGAGGATCGGGCGTGAGCGGTCTCGGCCCGCTCTTCCACTCGACCTTTCCGCCCCTTCTCCTGCTCATGTCCGTCCTTAGCAACCTTCCCTCGAGCGCGACCGCGAACATCATCTCCTCCGCGACCTCGACCGCCTTGGCGATACTCTCGCGCTCCTCCGCCCCGAGCGTCGGCGCAGTCGGCGTCTTTGCCCCGTCCGTCCCAGCTTCTTGCGACCGCGCCGCCAAAGCCCTCGCCTTCCGCTCCGCCTTCCACTTGTTGAACGCGAACCCTCGCACCGTGAGCCTTGTGAAGCACATGTACGGGTAGAAGACGCTCCACGCAATCATGTCTTCGCCGCCCGACTCGTTCGAGGCGAATGAGACGAGCGGAGCCCAGTATTCGACCCAGGCGTCCATCTCTTCATCGAACTTGCGCAGATCTTCGTTTTCGAGGATGCCCGCTTCGGTGCGGGCGCTGAGTGCGGTCGCGGCGAGGGCGACAAGCTCGACAGAGGCGGCGAGGCGGACGTCCGAGGGCTGTCGTTTGAGCGTCGCAAACAGCCGGGTCGTCTGCCGAGGTCCCCTAGTCAGTTACGCAGGTCGGCGCCCGAAAGAGCAGATCACGCACCTTGCAAGCGTCTTGAGGCGTAAAGTTGGCCGACTTGCCCGACTGAATCGCGCCGTGCGACTCGTGGAAGACACAGCCGAGATAGAGACGCTCTTGCGAGATGATCTCTTCGGGGATAGCCTGGACGTGCTGATTCGCAAAGGCTTGGGCGAAGCTGGGCAAGACAAGCGGTCAGCCAGGATCCAGGCTTGAAGTGGAGCAGGGGACATACGTCGTCGCGATCGAGGGGAGACCAATGAACGCCGACACGCGCGAGACAAGCAGCCTCAGCATCCACGACGCCCGCACGTTGATCTTGCTCGCCGACTCGATTTGCGCCGGGTCGCTCATGCCCCTCGCATGCAGCGCCGAAAATTGTACCGGCTTGTAGAGGATAAGAAGCTGGACAGCGCGGACAAAGTCGAACGAGAGTTGGTCCGGTTGCGGGCAGAGGATCTGCGGCGCGAGGATCGAGTCGAGGATGGAGGCGACGGCGCGATAGAGGATCATTGTGGCGGGAGTGCGGGGACGGTAGTAGAGCGTCGTGACGAGAATGGCGTGGAAGAGAAGGGGGGAGCGCTCGCGGACGACGAGGGGTTGTCGATCGAGCGTAGTCGAGAGCAAGCCTGCCCAGGGCTGGATATTGTTAAAGAATCTGTGCGCATTCGCAAATTAGCGACATTCGGTCCGGCCTCGGAAAGCGGTACTCACAAGTCAAACTCTGCTTCACACTCCTCGACAGTCATAATCCCCCGACCTAGCACATCCGGCTTGACGCTGTCCCACGCATGACCCGCAACTCCGTCTCCCGCCGCCCCGTTCGCATGATCGCCATTGCGCCCCTGCGCAGATCCCAAGTCGACCAATCCTTCGATAGCCATCGCTTCTCCCGCCGTCTCGACCGCGTTCGCTCCGACTCCGTCGTGCTGGGTATCGTTGAGCGAGGCGGGAGTCACGCCAGTCATGGGGGACGACGCAGAACCGGCCTGCGACGCTCCAGCATGCAGGGCATGTCGGTGCGCCTGGTCGACAGGTATGGATAAGACAGGACCGTGAGGGCCGGAGGTCGAGGCGGGTGAAGAGAGGGTGGAGGCGCGAGCAAGAGCCGACTCGAGGCTCGCGAGTCGCTCGTTCATGAGTCGCAGCTGTTCTGCGACATCCGGGGCCGGCGCGGAGTGTACGGCAGGTTGTGCGGGCGGGGGAGGAACAGGAGCGGGAGCGGGAGGTTGGGCGGGCGTCGCATGCCGGCTTGTCTGGCGGACTGGCGGCGTGCTGGAGCGCGAGAGGTTCGTTTTGGAGGGTGCTGGACCGGCGGCTGAGGGAAAGACACAGTCGACGCCCCAACTGCCAAGGGGAAGAAAGGTCAGCCGAGCGAGACGAGGAGGTAAAGGCGATTCAACGCACGTCTTGCAGCGATGACAGGGTCCGGGTGGGCCGTCGCAGCGTCTGTGGACACCGCAGGTGTGGTCAGTCTGCGTTCAGATTTGACGGTTGTCGTCGCACCTCCCGCGACTACTCCTGAGCGGGGCAGTCTCGACAACAAGCGGAACAGAACGCACTGCTTGGCCTTGTGGCACTCGGCGCATGCTGCCCTACTCCTCGCCAGCCGTGCAGGCTTTCCCACTGCCCGTCCCGCCGTCTGTGCTCCTCTGCTGGGTCCAGCGTCCGATCGAGTCGAACTCATCGCTTCGAGCGCAATAAGCGAGCCGGGGCGCAGGCGGATGGGCTGGAGTCGCTAGCAGAATCGTCAAGCTAGCTATGTCAAGCTTTACGAGCCAGAACGAGCGGGTGAGCGGACGAAGCGGGAAGCGAGGCAGCCTGTCCTGCTCCGCCGACGCCGTGCAAACAATCTCGGATGGGCTCGAGGACGGCTTTGCAAGCTTCGATAGCATCTGACAATCAGCCTGGCAGTACTTCCGAGTCATCCGGAGCAGGTAAATCGTCGAATACACCGCCCTTCCTTTTCTCTCGCTCCGTGTGCTTGCTGGTGCTGCTCATAAAGGCATTGAAGCTGTGATGATGGTCTACACGGTGCCCAAACATCGCTGCTGGGCATCGTCACCCTCGAGTTCCTCTTCATCAGTTCTCCCTCGTCCTCATCCTCACACTGCCAAGCTGGCTCGACTGTGGCTGAGGATGGCAAGACAGCTGAGTACGACAGCTGCGAGGCGGACAGAGCTACCGAGCGCCGCTTCATTCCCTGCTGTGCCCTCCGTCTCCGACACCGCCCCTCCATCATCGACATCGAGGCTGCCCGCACCACCTACTGTCGCTGCAACAGGGTCGTCAGCAGCACCGCCTACCTCGACGAAGCGTGCTCATGTTCACGGACCAGACGAAGGACGTGACAAGGGGAAGGGGCCGGCAAAGAGGGAGCGCAAACCCGCTGGCATGCTCGGCAAGTGGTGGCCGACGCTGCACAGTCGCACGGGTCAAGGACGAGGATGCGGACACTACGTCTGGGGCGAGCCGGCGCCGAGCAGCAAAGTTGCGGCTTTCGGTGCGCGCTTTCTCCCTTCGCAATCGCTTGTCAGGCTGCCGTTGACGCCTTCTATCCGCCAGATCTGGACGGGACGATCATCCGACCGATGAATGGCAACTCGTTCCCGAAGGACTCGTACGACTGGGAACTTTGCGGCGGTTCCGTCGTCCGCAAGTTGCGAGACTTGCACCGCGACGGGTGGGTGTCGCTCCTTGATCACGGCACACGCTTTTCAAAGCTGTGTTGCTGAGGCTTCACTCCCACAGCTACGCCATCGTCCTCGTCACGAATCAAGCCTCCCCCTTCTCCGATCTGAGCGCCGACTTCCGGCGCAAGATCCCCTTCGTCTGTCGTCGGCTCAACGTTCCGCTGCACGTCTTCGCGTGCTTCGAGTTTGACGAGTACAGGAAGCCGTCGGCGGGGATGTGGGAGGCTTTTGTCGAGCGGTTCAATGGCGGGTTGGAGATTGGTGAGTAAAGCTTGCTCATTCTCAGTGGCAAGACGACTGACTTGGCGATTTTTGGCGACGCGCAGACTACAATGCGTCGTTTTACGTCGGCGACGCTGCAGGTCGACCTGCGGACCACGCAGACACCGACAGGAGTGCGTCGTCCTGTGCCGTCTTGCCTGTGTTAAGCAGACGAAGCTGATGATCGGCTTGCCCCGTCATCGTGCAGAGTTCGCTTTGAACGCCGGACTGCGTTTCTTGACACCTGAGGAATGCTTCGAGGACGCGGCGCCCGACGAGGACTATGTTCTCTGGGGGTGGGATCCGTTTGCGTACGACCATTCGAGTTCGCCGCTCTTTCGCTCTCACAGTTACTTTGGTTGCTTACCGTACTACCCTGCAGCTCCCGACCCTCCCGCTATCCTCCCTCCTGCTCCTCCGCCCAACTCGACTCCGCACGAACTCGTCCTTCTCCTCGGCGGTCCGGCGTCCGGCAAGACTCACTACTACAACACTCACCTCCAGCCTCAGCGATACGAGCGCTTCGTATGTCTCCCACAAATTGCGCTCGAATGACCCGTCCTGACCTTCGCAATCTTCCGCCGGACAGACCTTCCCTCCGCAACGCAACTCTGAGCTTCCACGACAGCTGAAGCAGCACGTCCGCCTCCACTTCGAGCGAACACCACCGACCGACGACTCTTCACCGCCCGCACCCCGCCCTCTCCGCCTCGCCATCGAGACGCCCCTCGCGTCCGCCTTCTCGCGCCGCCTCTTCCTCCGCCACTTCGCCAACCTTCTCCTCTCGATCCGGGGTGTCTCTCGCTCCTCGTTCAAGATCAGCGCGGTCGTCTTTGCTCCCGCAGGCGGGTTCGACGAGTCGGTCAGCGGGAAAGGCGGAATTGATCTGTGGCGCCACAACTCGGTTTGGAGGAGCGTGACGAGTGGGCAGGGAAGGGTTGGAGACAGGCCGAGGAAGAGGGCGGTGCCGCTTACGCCTATCGAGTTTCTGAGGAAGTTTGAGCGCGAGTGGGAGGAGCCGACGATCGAAGAGGGCGCGTCCCGCTCGTCCGCTCGTGAGCTTTCGCATGCTGACGCTCGCCACGCGTAGGGTTCCACTCCCTCGCAACCGTCTATTTCCGCCTCCCTCCCGCCCTCCAACCCTCCTGGAAACGCTGGCTCGCCGACGTCTACCCGGGCAAAGCGAAGAAGACGGGTCGGATCGCGGTGTATGGGCCTGGTGCGAGGAAGGATGCGGTGGGGAGGTGGGAGGAGGAGGCGAAGGAAGAGGAAGGGGGGGAGTTGATGGGTGTGCTGGAGGTGCCTGGGGAGGATGTGGCGTAGCACCGGGCTGAAAGCATACTATCTCTACGCTATCCCCGTGCTCGAGAGAAGAGATGAAGATGCGAGCTAGGGTTACAACAGACGACGACAAACAAGCGCTTCTCCACCCATCCTTCCGCCGAAGATTAGTACCGTAGGCGGGTCGAGTAGTCTGAAGATCGCCAAGGGTCAGCTCACGCCACCAGAAGCGGAATAAGAGCCCGCACCTCGTGGCGAAACGACCAAACCACGACCTTTCGAAGCGCCACGATAGACAGTTTCAATGATGTCTATGAGCTCCTGTTGGTCCGCGACCCCCCAATTGATCTTGTTGTTGTTTCCCGTGCCCCTACAGTGTGCAGAAAGTGTCAGCGAAGTGTCACCGGGCCTCTACAAGGCGTACGCACAGGTCGATCATGATGTGCTTGTTCCTGCGGAGGTCAATCAAGCACGGTACGAGTTTCCAGGCGCGGGCGTCGTGCAGTATGACAAGAGGGGTCGCAGGCCAAGTAAGGGGTGAGAGCGTAGGTGGCGGGGCAGAGAACGGGAGGAAAAGCGGCAAAAGTTGACTGTCAGCTCCCACTTCCCAACAGCATCGCTTGCAAACGGCCTCGGTCTGTGACGCACCGGTAGAAGAACCTGTAGGTGTCCACAACGCGCCAGGATGAAATGGGAAACCCTGTGTCAGCTCGTGTCCTCTTGATTCAGGATTACCGTCGAGTTGAGCGATCTACGCACATCGTCGTGCAGGCGTCGTACAGCTCGTACATCTACAGAACGTCAATCTGAGTCAGCTAGTGACATAAAGTGGCAACAAGGGACCCACCTTGTTGAAATCGGGAACTTGGGTGATGTCGACGGTGTCTGCGAGGCCACACGGTCAGCGCACGTTCTCTGACCGCGTCGCAAGCTCAAAAAGTATGGCGCACAGATGACGGCCATGTTCTTGACCTTTTCTGCAATCTTGAACAGCGTCTCGTCATGCACCATGCACTCCGGGTCCTGGAGGAGGCGATATCACGGTCAGTGCAAGCCCAATCGCTTCGTTGCGACCCGCGACAGCCTCGCAATCACAATCTCGCCCCTACCACTCGACCGCGGAGCGAAAGGCCCCCTCACAGGAGCAGAGCGAGCGACTTACCCAGTCATGTCCAAACCGAATCACCACGACACGGCTTTCCTCCGCCAGGATCGCCTGGTCGACGTGCCATCCCGACTCGAGCTTGGGCAAGAACATGGACATCCTGACGAGCTAGTTCTGCGGATGCAACGGGTGGTCGAGGAGGGAGGGTTGTAAGTCGGCGAGAGGTGAGCGCGGGCGGGTCGGATCGGTACGGCTGAGCTTGGAGTGTGTTCCTCGGTCTCTGTGAGCAGTAGCAGGCAGTCTCGAGCTGCGCGAGCGAACGGTTCACGGTTGACCTTCTCGCGGCGGGTTCGAGCCGGTTCGCCTCCGCCCGTTCGAAGCATCCACCGCTTCCTGGCTCGAGCTGCTTGACTGAGCGCTAGCAGGACCATGTCCTACACGACTGACGAGGGCAACTTGTTCCAGACGGACGCGCAGCATGAGAAGCGAGTCTTCATCTCCGCCAGCTCCTCGTCGCGTCGGAACTGACGATTCCTCCTCGCACGCAGGTCTGCGATCCGCGCTGTTCGCTCGCAGTACCTGGGAGAACGCGGACAACCGATCAAGCTCGCGACCAAGCCGATCAGGGTTGTTCTCAGGGAGCAGCCGGGCAAGGAGGCGGAGGCTTGGGTCGCAGAGAGCGGCTTTGTGGTTCGCAGGGTCGGTCTGGAGGTGCGTACAGGTATTATGGCTTTGCTTCTGCGGGCCTGGAGGCTCAGGCTGCGGAGTGGGCTCAGAGTCGACGTTGACCCTCTCGCTCGCTCCCCTTCACAGACTGGCAAGACGAAGCAGATCTATCGAGGGCACAACGGTCCCGTCACTTCAGTCGCCTTCTATACGACGACCGCCCCCGACAAGCGAGAGCTGCTCATCAGCGGGTCGTGGGACAGAAGCTTTCGGGTATGGGATGTCCAGGTGCGCTCCCTGCGTTGGCTAGGGCGTCCTACGCTTCCCTGACCGTCCTCGAGCCGCAGACCAAGACGCACTTGTCGACGACCGTCGGCCACATCGACTTTGTCAAGACCCTGACCGTCATTCCCTCGCTCAAGATCCTCGTTACGGGCTCGTCTGACAAGGACATCCGGATATGGGACCTCTCGCCCCTCGACTCGCTCGACATCGCTTCTATCACCTCTTCCGCACCACGACCAGAAGAAGAGAAGGACGATGCGACACCTGCGCCCCAACAAACAGGCGCTGCACCTCCTCCCGCCGCCTCCCTTTGCCCGCTCTCTTGCCTCTTCGCGCTCAAGGCGCACACTCGGCCAATCGAGCAACTCGTCTCGTACCCCCTGCTCGAGCCGCTGCCTGAGGGAGTCGAGGCGGACGAGGTGGACGTCGCGACTCGACGGAGAACGGGAAAAGTCGCGTTGCTGAGTGCGGACAGTATGGGCGCAGTGAAGGTGTGGGAACTGTGGCGAGACGAGCGAGGAGAAATCCAGGGCAAGTTGCGCTGCGAGGTGCGGCATCACGAGTTGGGCATCTACGACATGCAGGTCGGGCCAGAAGGCGAGCTGTGGACTGGTGCGCTCGTCGTACATACCTTCCGACATGCTCAGAGCTGACTCGTTTCTGTGCAGCGTCTGCCGACAACTCGGTACTGCTCTCCCAGCTCTCGCTCACGTCCGCCTCCGAACCGCCAGTCCCGACCCTCCGCATCCCTCACCCCGCGCAGACCCGCTCGCTCCTCCCCTTACCCCTCTCCAGCCTCGCCTACTCTCCCTCAGCAGCGTCTCACATCCATTACCTCCTCACCGGCTCATCCGACGAACTGATCCGCATCTTCGACCTCTGCGACTCCTCCCTCGACCCCTCTCCCTCTCGCGAACAGAAGCGCGACTGGCGCGGAATCGCACTCGACTTGTCCGCGACCCCAGAAGGGTACGTGAAGGAGATTGAAGGCCACACGCACGAGATCGTCCAGCTGTGCGCGTACTCGACTTTGAGCGGTGAAGCGTGGATCTTGAGTGCGAGTTTGGACGGGACATTGAGGAGGTGGAAGTGGCCGGATGTGTTGAAGGAGAAGGTGGACAAGCTGGTGATCGTGCCGGTCGAGGAAGAGGAGCTGAAGAAGGAGAGCCTGCTCACGGAGGAGGAGGAGCGCGAGTTGGCAGAGTTGATGGGGGAGGACTAGTTGTCAGCTGCAAACTGTTCAAACGGAGTGGCCTGGGAGCCTGCCGAGAGTGCGGCCGCAAGCCTGGGCCGTGCTGGGAGAAGTTGAAGAGGCGGAAACACGACTACGGTGGTACAGCGGCGCACATTTGCCTCGCCCTCTCACAAGCACTGGTGGTTTAGTGGTAAAATTGGACATTGCCAAGTTGATTATACTCGACGTTGTCTAGCCCCGGGTTCGATTCCCGGCCAGTGCATTGACATTTTGCTCTCGTTGCTTGCATCCTGCGCGGGTCTCTTTTTGCCTGTTTTGAGTCGCGGAGACAATCCTCTCGATACAACAAACATTCAGAAGGCTGAGGAAACGTTACTACAGGGGAGGGGAGTGCTTGCGGAAGAGCGAGAGAGGAGACAAGCGAGGGAGCGGACGTGCACGAACCAGGGCGGGCACCAACTTGCAAGGAACTGCTAGTATTGACGACGACAAACGAAAAGAAGCTATCCACACATCCCTCATAGCCCCACGGCTCACCCCTGCGCACCAGCAAGCAACGCCTCGATCCTCCTCGCCTCCCTCACCTTGGCCTTCTCCGCCTCCTCGTACTCGCCTTCGCTGATGGCGCCGAAGGAGATACGGTGTTCGGGTTGCGGAGGGGTGTAGAGGCCGCTGAAGGAGGAGGTGGGGATGGAAGAGGCGGCGGAGGGGGAGGGGATGTAGGTCGCGTCTGCGCTGCCTGCGACGACGGGTTTCAAGTCGCGCTCGTGCAAGCCGATGGCGTCCGAGGAGGTCGGTCGACTCTCTTGTCCGCTCCGGCTGCCGCTCCCGCCGCCGCTCCCACTCGCACTGCTCCTCCGCCTCGCCATCGCCGCGAGCGTCGACGCCGCATGCTGAGCCGACACCCCATTCTGCTCTTGCTCCTGCTCTTGCTCGTCATGTCGCAACGAACCTTCCGGCGCAAAAGACCTGTACGCCACACCCGCCTCGACCGGACCCGCCAGCGCGTGCTGGTAGAGCGACCGGTGCCATTGTTCTGCGACGGGCCAGAGGGTGGCCGAGTGGTGCATTGTCGAGAGGGCGTTGGCGATGCGTGAGGGGGCGGCGGGGACGTGCGAAGGGGCGACTGTGAGGTGGGAAGGTCAGTGAGCGTTTTGGAGGGAGGAGGGGCCGGAACGGACGGTTCGGGTGCAGGCGGAGGAAGGTTAAGACTGTGCCGGCGATGTAGACGCAGAAGGCGCTGCAAAGACGAACGAAGGTGAGCATCTTCTCCGACAGCCATCGAGAAAGGCGTTGCGAACGCACAGATGCGGCGTCATTCCCTTCCTCGCCGGCCCTGCGCCGAGACACTCCGCCGCCTCATCCAACAGCCCAAATGCATTCTCGACCGTCTTCGCCGCCAACGCCCTCCAATACTCCCTCCCGCCTGGCGGCACTTCCCCTCCCAATCCTACATCCGCACCGTCCTCGCTCAACACGCGGGCCATGATGGGCAGATAAGCGCGGTAGAGGAGGATTTGGGCTGCGCGGAGGGTCGCGTGGATGGACCAGAAGCCCAGGTCGAGGTTCGATGCGCGGTAGGCGAGGAGGTTGGGAGTTGTCCAGTGTTGGATGGGAGAGAGGAGGGCGTTGAAAGCGTCCAAGGCGGACTGGAGGGCGGGGAGGGGGCTCGTGGGTGTCCAGCACGGCGGGAGGGCGGAGGAGTCGGTTTCGAGAGGAGCCACGGCGCGGCTTATTTCGCCAAAGATGCTGCGGGCTGTCACGTAGGCGCCGAGGAGGGACAGGTCTTCCGTCGGCGAGGGTGACTGCGGCAAACGAGCGAGGTTGGGGAACATGCGCTCGTCGTGCGCGCGGACGCCAAACGTAAAGTCTTGTTCGTTTGAAGGGAGCGGGACGGGCACGAGGGCGGGCTGGAAGTAGGCGGGTGTCGGGGAGGGTTGCGCATCGAGAGGGATGATGGAGAAGGTGAGGAACCACCACGTCCGGCGGCGCACTTCGTTCTCGATGACTGAGAGACCGGGAACCGGTTCGTGCAGGCGGAGCGTCTCGGCCATCTGCCTTGCGAGGCCCTGGAGCGCTTTCGCGCGGTACTCGAAGAGCGTGCCGGCGTCGTGGAGTGACAGGAGGAGCAGAGCCTGCACGAGCTCGAGCGACGGCGGGGGGCTCAGCTCGTGCAGGACTTGCGACTGCGCCTGCTTGGCGAACGCGTCGGCTGCGAGCGAGGGCGACGGGTAGCGTTCTGCGAGGGCGGGGGTGATGCGCGATGAAATGACGATGATGCAGAGGACGAGGAAGGGCGAGATCGAGTCGGGGTGGGTCTGCAGCTGATGGAGGAACGACGGGCGATGGAGGAAGCCGAGTTGGGTGTAGCACTGGAAGAAATCTGGGTGCGGAGACTCGTTAGCCGGCGTGATACAGTCACAATGAAGGCGTGCGCACTCTGGCACGCCTCGAAGACGATGTCGGGCGGCG